CATTCCAGCAGCTCTGCCCCCGCACAGGTCTAATTTCCAAAAGACCCTCTTTTTAGAGATGGAGCCAACGTGTGACTGCGGCATGTCAAGGCCTCAAGTTTATGGACCACTGTTTGATCTGCGCTCCTCTCTCAACGCTGTGAACTGTAATTGCGCATTGTTCTGTTGCATCGGTTTTTGTGCTCTTCTCATGTTTTAAAGGGTTTTTTGGTTTTGGACTGCTTTTTGTGTGAATTGCTCCTCCTCTCAGAGCTCCAAAGCGATCCTGGGACAGCGCCACCAACCTACGTTGCACCGCTCAGCTACCAGCGCTGCCTCATCGGGGAAACCACACACCGGACCCGGGATCTCTGGCACCAGTCTCCCCTCCCTGGACTACTCCCTGGGCCTGCGGCGCACTCAGCTGTTCAGGTCCCCAGAGTGACTACCAGAAACAATCTATACCATACCTGCTGCTTGTTCTTAAACTCTCTCTCTGTTCTTATTTAGCGAGCAACGCCTCTCATACACCCCGGGAAACAGTAGTCCAGTCAACTCAATGTGCCCAGCTGCCCTGAGATCAGCGGACGAGACCAGCTCTGTTTTGTTTGTTTTTGCGGAGCATTAAAGACGTTTTTCTTGTCTAGCCTGGGTTCAAAGCTGCATTGTTACAGGGTCCAAAACAACTCAACACACGGCTCACCGTAACAGAGATAATGTTTCAGTATGACTGACATCTAGGTATATTGTTCCACTACTTATTCTGACAGTAGTAATACCTGGTTAATTATGGTTAAAAATAATTATTACCACTTGTATGCATTTATGAAATGGTCATTAATAAATACATACTAAGTGCAAATACTTTACAGCGTCACCAATAGCATTAACAAATGGTTAATCAAAGGTAAGTAATGGTTATTCACAACCCTGACACATTTTTAAAGATCATTAATAAATGCGTAATTGTGAGTAAGTAATGCTTACAGTATACAGCGGGGGTGGACAAGTCAGGTCCTGGAGAGCTACTGCCATGCATGTTTCCAACTATCCCTGCCCTGCCCACTGCTGAACACCTGGATCATGTGTATTCAGTCAATCAGAAGCTGGAAGATACCACCTTAGACGAAGGTGGAGCGAGGACAGACAGTGAATTCATAGGTTGGAGGATGGACAAGTAAGTGGACAATTATTACTCTTAAATGAACATTAAAACAGTCTTCTCCTAATGAAACTGCTAAGCTGTGAACTTCATGAAATACATGTTAATATCTTTATCAACTATTTACTAGCGTTAGTTACCAAGAGACATTTAAGATATAATGCTTATTATTGTATCAACTAATGTTAGCAATGTCATTAAAAACTATTAAATAATGTATGAGTTAATACCTCAATTAACAAGAACAATAGTAAATGATTAGTTAATGCTTATTACTGCATTAAGTACTATTAATTAATGTACCCTTATTGTAAAGTGTTACCGATTGAGCTTACCAAACTGTCAGCCGTGCCATTGCATTGTGTGTAATGTAGGCACTCGGTTTTGTCAAATATTTACAGATTTGAAGTTTCCAGCTCAATAAATCTTAAGCAAAATGTTGCTAAAATACAACCGACGCCTCTTTTATTTCACAGCAATGTAGATAGCAAGCTACAAGCTCATTTCTATAAAAATGTGCTGTCTTCTGCTCCAGACAAATAACACTGGTCTCAATGTGCAGCTGGCTGTGAGACGAGTGCACAGGGACCATCTACAAAGGGCAACACTGAAAAGAGACAGGAGTACTATAAATTCAAGAACTTTACTCTTACCCAATGTAGTGTTACCAGAATTACTTCACACTTAAATGGTCGTCTGCTGGTTATACTTCTACCCATAGTTAGGAAAAGTATATTTTGTCATAATTTGGGGGAATTTTGATTGGGAAAAATATTCAGTAACTTTGCCCATATACTGTAGTGTCACCATAATCACTCATCATTATGGATAGACTAGAAACCCCAAGAAAACTATTCTCTATATAGGAAGCAGCATCAGGCAAGAGAAGTAGAGGAAGTTTTTGAAGAGGTGCGTCTTCAGTGTTCCAGGTGAGGTTGTAATTCGGGGTGGGGTGGGGGTCCTGGGTCCCTACCTCTGCCTTTGTTTGTGAGTAGCCTACTAGACCTACTTAAACCAGGGGACATGGAATATGGCCTTAATTAGGAACAGCTTTCTGGGTCCCGTAAAACATTTTTCATTCTGGTTCCGGTTGTAAGTATTTCAAATAACTGTTAAGTTCGGAAACTCTGAGAAATTCACATCCATCTGAAATCCGGGTATTTTATGTCCATGACTGCCATCTTCCCTAAAAAGAGCTTGAAGAAGGAGTGTGAAATTTACAATGCGCATTTGAAGGCAACATATTGAAATGAGGCCACTGTGGTCGGTATAATATCGTGGATGGGGGCGGGGTCTGATTACAGGTGGCCACCACACAGGTGTAAGGTAGAAAAATGTGCGACCTGAAAAACAAGCGCGACTGTTCAGTGCCGTTACTCGGGCTCCTGTCACTCCTCGGGTATGGCCCGCACATGCGTGGGGAACTGCGCGCCGTTATTCTTCATCGCTGTTGTTTTTGACGCAGCTGGACTGGCTGTACTTCTGGTCGGGATTTTCGGCAACCTGACCCTGGACGGTCGCTTCTATGGGGATTTCCTAATTTACACGGGTTCTGTCATCATTTTTCTCAGTTTGGTGTGGTGGGTCCTGTGGTACACGGGGAACGTCCAGCTGTACGGGGAGGACCAGCCAGGCTCCCTGGACATCCGTTTTGCGCAGTGGGCCAGAAAGCTGTCCAAAAGGCTTTCCAAAAGCCACACGAAGAGTCTGGAATGCGGGCAAGAGAAGAAGAGTATGTCAAATGGCAAGGAGATAAATGTGACTGTGCGTGCTTTTACGATTAGTTGGGAAGACGGCGGCGCCAGCGGAACAGTGTCAGGTGTGGACAACAAAGGGTTTGATGGAGGAACCGAGTGCGCGTCTCCAGTTGACAAAAACGTGGAGTTGGGAATCTTGAAGAGCTCAGACGTAACTCTGTCGACAGCAGAAAACAGAGCAGAGAGGCTTCTCTGACAGGAGATGGTGAGTAATTCACCCTAAATAACACCCACCTCCTAACCCGGGGTCACCTCGGCATCCTTCCTGTCCACGGTCTATTACTGTAACTTGCTCACTGTTTTTAGACTTTAACACCCCATTTACCACAGCCAGCTTAAACTCCTACTATATAGCTTGTTTGTTGCATTCTGTGAAAGTTAAAGCATGCTTCTGGAAAATGTATGATCACCTGAAACTGTGAGCCTGTGGAACCACCAGTCAGTCACAACTGATCATAAATCACAATCATAAATATTGAGCTCATTGTCCTGGATAACCCTTAACTCCACTGTTTTGCACAACCCCTTTCATCATTACTGTCAACATCCTTAATGTGTTGTGTGTTGGCATGGCAGCACCTCCTCCCCATCCCCTCACCTCAGTTCTAAAATACATCAGACAATGCCCACAGTGAAAGCACTCCTGAGGAATGAGTGCCCTCACACAAATTCAAATCTGTAATAATATACATATATATTGTCTCTCTCCTGCTGCTGTGAAACGATCGTCAGTGGCCCGTGGCAGCTTTTAATTAATGAGCTTGACCGCTTCTGCTCACATTCACAGTACTACATTATTTTTGCCGTCAGTTTGCTTGTAACCGGGTGGAGAGCCAGATGCCCTTTGGGCTAAGAAGGCCTATTGCATTTTAATGGAAGTCAACAGTGCTTATTGGTTCAGTGGAATGGAGAGTGCTAGGACTCTGCCACCAAATGCAGAGATAATATACAAGTGTGCTTCATACACACTTCTTCCATCTGCTATAGTTCCATGTAGTTTAATAGACCCTAGCCTGATTCCATATTGTCTAACCTGGATAATGAGCTCAAAATATGGAAATGTGTGAAATGGAGTGGTCCAGAGAACAAACACTGAATACTCAATACCAAGGCTGCTTCTTTGCTGCAACTTTAATGTATTAGGTGTGAGACAAAGAAGCACTGAGAGCGAGGCTGGAAATACTCCTGGCAACAGGTCATATCCCGTGTTGTTTCAGGGTGTTTGGAGGTCTTAACCTTTGCATCCAAGACCGTTTCTTAGTTGGAGTTTGTATTTTGTAATTATACAGTGTGAATTTCAAGCACATACACTATTTTGACTGCAGTAAATATCTTTAAAATATAATCTTTTAGGCCACAAATCTACAGGCAAATCTAATATAATAAAGGGATTTATCCAACAGAATAATCTCCAGGCATGGTGGAAAGGGTTTTGAAACAGCATTACAGTAAGAACTGACTTAAAATGATCCCAATTAGAGCTGAAACTAATGATTAATTTACTGATTACCTGTGGATTCATCTGCAGATTATTCTCTGAATAGTGGATTAATCACTTGGTCTATAAAATGTCAGAAAGGAAAAGAAGACTCATCATTTTGTAAATCCCGAGGTGACATTAGTAAATAGCTCGTTTTGTTTGACCAGCACCCCAAAACCCAAACACACTACACTGAGTTTTACTAGTAGCATAAGACAAGCAGTGAATGCTCTCATTTAAGAAGCTGAATCTTGGCACTGTTTGGCTTTTTTTTTCCTGGAAAAATGATTATTTTTCAAAAGACTTGCCAATTATTTTTCTGTCAGTGAACTAACTAATCATTTTTGCTCTACTATACCACTATGTTCTATAGACTCCTCTTTCTAGTAGACTGTGCGTTAAATATAAAAGAAATTAACATAGAATACACACAGTGCAAAAGTCTTCTAGAGCCATCACACCACGCTCTGCAGTTTTATATATTTATTTATGTTGCAGCAGTGCGTATCCCCCCTGCATTAGAAGTGTATTTTTGCGTGCATGTTGATATTTTTGTTCATGTTGTCACTCTTCCAGTGTGAATGCATTACGTGCTCAAAACCTGCTTAAAGTGAGTGCGTGTTATGGAATAATAACAGCATGCTGTTTATGGTTGGCTTGTTTAAAAATGTAGGTGGGTGGAGGTCTATTGGGAAAGGCTGACCTCAGCACTTCTCAATTCCTGGTTACAATTCCTGGTTTCCTGATTGAGAGCACATAATGTTATGGGTTTTATCACTGGACATTCCTCCAGTGAACACAGGACTCCACCTAGAGACAACATTGCTATTGTAGTGGCTGCTGGCCTTTCTCCATTTTGAGTCATGAAGTGAGATGTTTATCAGTGGCGCTTGGCTTGATTGAGGTCGAGCGTTGGAAAGTGCTGGTTACTGCTCAGGTGTATAGTAAACAAGAATTTCCCAACATGCACTAAGTAACATTGTGCACTAAGGTGATGATTGTCTTATCTGCACACGTACTTGTGTTGTTGCATAATGTCAATTTAAAACTGTATGGTGGTAACGATGAACTAATTAGCCCAACTTAGTGTCTCAGTGCAGATTTTTAGCTCAAACTTGAAGGAGGACTTTGGGAAATGCATTTATTTACTTTCTTTATGAGAGCGACAAGAAGATCAATAACCCTCTCGTGTCTCTATATTATGTATAAATCTGCAGCATAAGGCTTGTGTATACCAACACCTCTAATGACATTTTGTTATTTTAAGGGGTGTTAGATGTTGAAACTGTTTCTTTCACCCCATCAGTGTCTTTATTTGGCAACCTGTGATATAGCCAGAGACACTGCACAGAAGTGCTGCGTGTGGATGAATAAACAATTTAGAGCTAGTCAAAGAAAGTAACCACAATGAGTACAGTTTAAACAAACAAGGTACATGTTAATTAGTGAGATGGTGTATTTTTGGCTTGTGGATGGAGCCAAACTAGCTGTTGCACTGAAGTTGGTCCTCTCCATGATGTTCTGGTGAGACTTTTTCCTTCTTTTATAGGCCAAAGAAGGTCAGGTCAATTGAGAAAATAACGGAGAGAATAATAGTGAAAATAGCCATTAGTTGCTGTTTACAGACAACACAGTGGTGATATGTTACACTCAGGTGTTTATTTATTGGTAGACTTTTGTTTTTCATTGGTAGAAATAAGCTAATTCTAGTTTCCTGCTTATGTGGGATGGTTCAAACCACTAAAAGCCAGAGCTAAAGTTGGAGAGAACAGACTATGATAAAAATGATTTAATTTATGGGTAAACAAGGTCTTTTTTTTATTCTTTATTCTAATCTTACCTCTCACTCTGCATCATAATAACCCGAAAATGTCCTTTTTCAAAAACAATATTAAATTTGCAACCCATTTAAATGTTTGCGCCCCACTGGCTTCTTAATATCAGAAAAGCAAACCTATTAAAATGTCTGCTTTTAATTTTAAAGAGCAGAATCTTCCAAATCATTTCATCTTTCCATTTCCAAATTAATTAAGGGATTCGTTCCGTCAACCAGCCTCTTCTCATCTTCTGTAACATCTCACAAGAAGAGGCAACTTTTGAATCAGATACAGAAAGATCCTTTCAGCGTTCGAGTTCATACTAGAGAGACTTTAACCTTCATTTTAAATTGTCTTCCACCTTCCCTCAGAACAGTTTCTATTGTTATTTTTATTTTTTGTATTTGATTTCATACTATACTGTACAAATGCATAAAATCCTCGTTCTCTTCTTCTTCTTTCCAGGTAACATGCAGCGTCCTTGGTGTTGATGGACGGGCTTTGTCCTCTCACTGCTTCCCATAAACTACAACAGACTGACTCTGAGATTTTTTACTTCTTTAAAATGGGACAGACTATTTCATAATCAGGGAAAAGCCCTACGCCTTCAGTAAGCAGATGAGCTGTGCGCAGAGGAGGAAAAAGTCTTTAACTTGTACATAGCAGTGTTTTATTTTTATGTGCAGATTTTTGTGACAGATGTAAATTATTTTCCTTGGGAATAAAGATTACACGTACTTGGACATTGTCATTGTTTAAGAGTATCTGAAGGCATTTCTTCATCCAGGTCACTGATACTGTTTGGTAGCTGATAACAACAAAGCAACGCCCAAGCTCTGAGTTGTGCAAGGCACAGCTTTTGTTGTCTCTTCTTCCATGTCCGGGTTCTACCCTTGTTTAAGCTGATTTTTCTCTCATCACTACCCAAGTTGTTCTCCCACTATTTTATTTCCAAACAGGCAGGCTGAACATAAATCCTTCTGGGGGCCTGAGATGAGGCCTGTGTCTGCTGGAATGTAATGTGTTTATGAAATGAATTTACATTCAGCAGTAGAGCTGGGAAGTCTCTTGTCAACATTAAGGAAACATCATGTTGAAAAAACAGTGATTTGTAGGTACAGAAAGGAATGTGACCTGAGTGTTTAAACTTCCCTCCCATTGGTCTCACCATTGCTCAGACTGAGAGCAGAAGAAGAATTTCTTCTGAATGTACTTTACTTCTGACATTTTTCACAGCATACACATAAACTGGTAAAGCAGTGACTGATTGGCTAAACTCCGTCAGCTGTCAGCTACTCCTATCATGGATTATGATCTGTCTTGACCACTGCCTGCTGTTTTTCATTATTGCCATCTTCTTGGATGCAGCAGATTTCATCCTCTTCTTTGTCGGAGTCTTTGTTCCCCCCAGCTTTTGGGGATTTCTTCATCTTCTCAGGGCCTCCTGTTATCTTCAGCCTGGTGCTGTGAATCGTCTGGTATCTAGGAAACCTGGAGGTGCCGATGGAAGAGTTCCTCCCTAAACGAGAGTTGCAGCTTCTTTTTCTTATGTGACACAACCTGTTTTCTGGCGACTCGGGCTGGGAAATAAAACCAAAGCTACAGGTGCAGATCTTTACATTTAAATCATTACTCAGTCAAGACATTGTGAAGTCAGTGACTTTTCTGTAATAAAACTCTGTTCCTTTCCCTTTAGGGTGGAAAATCTCCACTTCTACTCAATATCATTAATGGATGTTTGTATATTTGCATCATTGCCCCAAAGAAACATGGGCACTTTATTTTGAAAGGAACACCTCAGACTCAGAGGTGGGTTTAGAAACATTTCATTGGGTGAGGGCTAATGCATTCTTTATTCATTATTAAGTGTAATTAATGAATGCCAAATAAATAGCTTTAAATATTCTAATATGAAATAATCAATAAATCAGTCAATATAATTGCTGTTTGTAATTCCAAATAACCTACAGCCATGGACAGATGGACTGCAGCCTCGACAAAAGACCCCTCACTCCTCCTACATAGGAACTGAAAGACACTTGGACTGAATGACATTACAAATGACATTGACACCTCTGTAGACAATTTATGATTGTAGTCTTTCTGAATGTCTGTGTAGTTTTGTATTTGTCATCATTTCAAAATCTCATTTGCACATTTTTACTCCATTTAGATCTGGATGACACTGTTTATTGTGTTTATTCTTTTTTTTTTATTTCCTTCTAAGGCTGTAGTTCTCTATCAGTCTCTGTGGTGATTATCCTGTTGTGAAATCTGAGTATTGGTCGCTCAGCCCAGTCAACAGAAACTTGTTAAACTGGGTCCTTTAGCTGCTCTTATTTCATAAGAATGGGTTTCTGAAAGGAGGAAAGGGGGGGGGAACCCATTATAACAAAAAAAAAAAAAAAAAAAAAAACGGGAAATAAACTTTTGGGGGCTGTTTGTACAGGGTTAGTTGTCATGTGTGCTTGAATAGCTTGAATAATCTTTCCATCAGGTAAGTATGTGGCACAACTTGTTTTTCTCTTACTGAGGCAGGCACACCCTATTTACAGTGTGGCTGATATTTAGTCTTAACACCAAAATAGTCCTCAGCTCAACAATGTGGGCCACAAGAATAGAACTTCGGAAACAGGCAAACAACCTTAACTAGTTTGACTTGTATTGATTTCATAATACACAGGACTTTTTACATTTAACGACATCATGGATTCCAAAATGCAGCATTAAAAGCCTCATAAATGTTTTTGCACAATTCCTTGTATAAGCATTTGAAAACGTGTGCACTACTAATAAATAATTGTGCCCTTGCTGCTCAAACATCTCTGGGAGAATGGCTTTGAACTGGTCAATGTGATTCTAAGGTGTCAAAATCTCTCTATCCCTCTGTGTGTCACCAGGGTTTCAGTTTCCACCTCACACCTAATGTGTTTTTCCATTATGCCAGCGTGCTGTATGGTCGTGGCCAGCATGCACACACAAACACACCAACAGCTGTACTAGGTTAACCGAACATGACACTGTTTGTCGTGGTGGTGAAAAAGGAGACAGGGTGACGGTTCTAAGAGGCCTGTTGGTGTATTTTTAGTAGTCGCCAGCCCTGCCAGCACTTCACACTGCAGCAGCAGGGACAGTGTTTCAGAGGAATGTTCAGTGATGGGGAAAGTATAGAACACCACTGTCAGACAAAAAAACATAACATGTAAAAGTCCTGCATTTAACCTTTTGCCCAAAGAAAAGTATGCTAGCTAAGTATCATCAGTAAAATGTACTTGAAGTATCAAAAGTAAATGTCATTTTGCAGAATGGCTCCTTTCACATTAAGTTTATTATAATTTATTATGCAGCATGTTATTTACTGTGAGCAGCATTTTAGTGTTGTCAAAACAGAGCTACTTTTGAGTAGTAACTCTAACAAAGCATTATATCTAATTTGCTGATCTTGTGTTTTAGATGAAATTTTAAATCTGAAAAGTGACTAGTTAGTACAGCTGGGTAAAAAGTCAAATATTTCATTCTGAATTATGCAGAAAGTACATTTACTTAATATTTACTACAATTAACTAAACATAAATAGTTGTCCATCTAGATTACAATCTCCCCTAAGATTTCCTTCTTTCTGTGAATGTACCACTTATTTTGTTTGTATCATGTGAAAATAACTTGAAGTGGGCTGCTGGAGTTTAGTAGCACCTTACCAACATTGGTCACAAGGTGGTAGTGTTGAGTAAGATACGGTTACTCTGCCAAAACCTTGCCAAGTGCATTATGGTCTTTCTTTCTGTTTACATTTGGACTGAGTTGGAAATGAGTGGAAGATGATATGTGCCAAGGATATGTAGAAATATATGGTCTTATACTTGTATAGTGCTATTCTATACATTGCAGCACATTGAAAGCACTTTCACACTATTCGCTCCCATTCACCCATTCGCACTCCCAAACACTCAAGACATTCACACACTGCATTATATCCACCTTGCTCTCATGCAAGAATGTGAAGATGTTCTAATGCATTGTAAATAAATAGCTTTAAGTATAGCAATCTCTGGCTGCAATTTAGTTTGGCCCCTGTGTACTGCGTATTGTATCAGTCACGCTGTTCAACATTAATGGTGTCTTCAAAGATGTGCAAGTTACTCATGCCATGTGCATTAACAAACACCCATGCCATCATGGATGCTGGCTTTTGAACAGTGCCTGATAATCCCTCTCCTCTTTAGCCCAGAGAATGCAACATCCATTATTTACAAAAAAAAAAATCAAATTTGGGCTCATCAAACTTTGTCTCAATCCATCTTTCATGATTTTGAGCTCAGAGAAGATCCTGTCTGGATCTTATGTTTTGTTTTTTTTCTTTGCATAGGAAGAGTTGAGTAACTTACATTTATGGCTGTAGCAATGACCCGTGTTCATTGTTAAAGCATTGCTCTTAAATTTTTGAGCTATTTGCCATACAGAGTGGTAAACCCCATCCTTCTCAAAGATTGAGCCTCTCTGGGATGTTCACCTATTGCCAATTAAACTAAGTAGCTGTGAAGTGTTCCACCAGGTGCTTTGTTAGAATTACACAACTTGTGGCCCCTGTCCCAACTTTTTTTGGAATGTGTTGCTGGCACCAAATTCAGAATTGGACTTATGATACACATGCACTAAAAATAGAAATACTGTAAATCAAGAATATTCATTTCATAATCTTACCAAAACTGTAGGATGATAAACTCAAATTAATAAACCATGAAGGATAAATTCTTCAGAACCTCTGCTCTCTTAGCAAAAGAAACAGACAAGATGGCCTTAGTTTTTTTTTTTAATTTTTTTTTTACAATTTTATTAATTAATCTACTAGGCTACTACATTTCTACTTTTCCACATTACTAATATAAATAGTATTGATTTAATAAAATGTAATAGGTGATGAGGTAAGATGTACAGCTGTGATCTTTAATGACAGAAATGTAACTACTGAATGATTGGGTGATTGTGAGAATAGAAACCAGTAAATTCTATTGTCCATCGTGAATAGATTAGGCTGGAATTTAGAGATGGGAAAAGTGATTGTGGATAAATTGTCTCTCATAGACATCAGCCTTCAACCATAGAGCCAGTCAGAGAGAACAACGGCTTCGCCTAATGTGAGGTCTGAGTAGGTTGCATGCGTTACACAGAGCTTCGGAAGCTACTTTCTTCAGGAAGCATTGCTTGTTGCTTAGCAACAGTCTGGGGAAGACTTCTTGTCTCCTCAGAGACCGGCTGGAGGATGGCTGGCAACAGTTAGCTGGAGATTTGGGCTGGCTCTGGTTTGCCCTCCTGGCTTGATGTCTGGATAGGCCACACGTGGATCTCAGCTACTGCGGTGTGGCTTAGATGGAGAGTTGTGGTTCGGTGGTAGCAGCAGCAGCAATAGTGATTTGAACCAAGCAGTGTGAATTAACTAACCAACTTAGTGTAGTCCCTTTAATTCCAATAACATGTTCTAGTCTTTGTCATAAGATGTTGTGATCAGTGGTGGCAAAAGCAGCACTGAGTTCTAAGAGGACAAGTATAGAGACCAGTCCTATGTCTGAGGCTAGGAGATCATTGGTGACTTTCACCAATGTGGTTTCTGTACTATGATGGACTCTAAATCCTGACTGAAAATCCTCAAACAAATCATTCTTGTGCAAGTGGTCACATAACTGCTGTGTAGGATATTAGAAATGAAAGGGGGGCTGTATATTGGTCTATAGAACACCTGGGTAAAAACTAGGCTTTTCAGTAGTGGTTTATTTCAGTAGCCTTAAAAGCCTGTTGTCACAGCTGTTTACAAAAAAAAACTGTGATCAGATCGGAAACAGATGTGCTGATTAAGGGTGAAACATCTTTGAGCAGTCTAGTCTAATGGACATGTTTATGGATTAGATGAAGCAAATGTTGAGGTCAGCTCAGCGGGATCCCTGGGAAAGAAGCATCTTAGTTATGATGCTATAGGCTTATACTGCTGGGGGTCCTCCCAGGATGATCTGAACATCATGAAGGGGGGGCTCTGAAAGCATTTATATGCCACCATTACATGTCATGAACTTTGTATGTCCTCTGTCCCATACTGTGTCCTCTCTCTCCCTGTACTTTTCTGCAGGTATCCCTAACTCTGGAGCTGCAGGTTTCTAATGAGCAGTCACTGGCCACATCAATCTGCCTAGTGTTTTGTTTTTAGTTTTTAGTTTTTTTTTGTCCAACTGAGGGGTAGTTTTTCCTTCCCACTGTCACTAAGTGCTTGCTTGAGAGGATTTGATGGGTTTTTCTCTATAATACTGTAAGGTATCACTATGTCTAAGTGCCTTGAGATGATTGTGTTATATGGATAAATTGGACTGAACTGAATAGAATGCAATTGATTTCACGGAGACTGAAAAATATAAGCTGTATGACCTACAGTCCAGGTATTGTTAAAAAAAATAAATAAATAAAGACACTGCTTGGCGAGGCATAGTTAAAGATATCTGTTCCTCGGATGAGAGAAGAAAATAACACACACGGCTCATTCTGGGGCAACACTTATTTCATGGTAGATCTATTTGGAGATAAGCAAACCTTCTCATGTTTTCTGGTCATACTGTTAAAAATCAGCAGGGCTAAAATATTCCCCTATTTCGGTAGTCGTGGACTAAATTTTCATCACTCCCGGTGTGTGTTACAGGTATCATATGGTGCATATCACATGATGCAACACAGCACTGCCAGTGTGTGTTGCTCTTAACACTAAATGAAAAAGTTCTGGCTTTAAAGACCCACTGGTTACAGTGAGTGCTTTTTTTTTTGTTTGTTTTGTTTTTACTTCCTGAGGGAATGATCTCGCTACCAACCACAGTCAAACTGACATTTGGTTCATTGCTGATGGTATTTTGCTACCTGATTATAATCCATGTTTGCTCTTTACAGACCTGGACAGCTTAGAGGGGATCATCACAGGATTCCCCAGCATGGTTAGCATAATATATTTGGCTGTAAGCAATAAACAATAAGAAGTGTTTTCTTTCTTCTTCAAAAATATTACAATTAAATATTAAAATACTGGTCAGTTTGACAGTTTGAATTTTTGCAACCAATCCCTTTGGTCCATAAAAAATAAACAAGTTGTAGATATATCTGCCACATTTACATGGCAATTTTATAACCACTGACTTAGAAGCCTGATCTTTTCTTTTCACAGGTGCATCCATGCTTCATATTGCTATGGGTTAGCAATGAGATTAGGCTTTCTTAGCTGACGTCTTGGCCAGTGACTTTGCTGGTGATTTTGAGGATGATTTGGAGGGACTTCTCTGACAGGGGGTGACCTTGATATGGATGAAGAGTGAGGCAGGCGAAAGACTGGAGCCGTCTAGCTTCAGCAGCCTGACATGACGATAGCCTGCAGTAGTATGGGAAAAATAGGCAAGAGAGCAGGTCATACTGTGTTGGCAACCTCAAACAAGTATTTGGTACAGCCCCCTTATTAACCAAACCTTAATGTCCCCATAAATACCTGTGCGGAGGCTCGTGAAAGGCAAGGTGTATTGCCCTAGGAAGTCATTGCTTGAGGTGTAGTCATGGTCTTCCACCTTGAAACGAACCAGAGCCAGGTCAGGGACATGGACAGTAAAGTTAAATGTACAGTCCCACCGTGGGTTAAAGCCTGAAACAAAGAAAAGAAAATTCTTACAAACTCATTCACACCACTGTATAATTTTACTTAATGACTTTTTCATAAAATTGTGTCCATGCAGGTTCCCATCCTTACTGACTTGATATTTAGGTCAGTTTAGTGAAGTTTGTATCCCTACTCCTACCGCTGGATGTTTCAACCATATATCCATTACTCAAATTATTTATTAGTTTATTTTAGCTATTTTAACCATGTATTCCCTTTTTTACCTTTTTCACCACTTATACAATACTTTTGGCTAACTGTTCTGCTGCTTATTAGTGTTATTAATGTGCTTATTAATGTGCTCAAAAATATAATACATAGGGGGATCTTTAATAAACTTTTCACAGGTTTTCAATTTAGCACTTTTTACCAGCACTGATGATGCAAATGAGCACAGCAGCGTTAATTTGAATACAAATTAACATATTTTGGAACTGCAAGCATGTAGTTAAAGCTGAGTGGGAAATAGTACCGTACCTCCCAATATCACCACCAGATGGCACAATCCCTTTTCGGATACCCCTCTGGACAAAGGACATTGGGAACAGAATAGAGAGAAAGACCGGTGCAAACCACCAATAAACACCATAAGAAGAAGACCCGGAAACCGGAAGTCAGTTTGTTGATTGCAGTGCGACACATATTGTTCCCTGGAAGACCTAGACTGATTTCTGAAGGTAAAATATCCCTTCAACTGTTGTCTACTGACAGGCCTGTAAAATGTACTTACCTCAATGGTGGGATATTATCTACTAACGTGAGTGTATTTAATGGATGTTAACAGACATATTGAATTGAGACAGACGAGAGAAACCAGACACTTGGCGTCTTGCTGTGAAGATGTGTGTGAGAGCACTGGGTCAACACAGTTCATTTCATTCAGTAATTGAAGTAAAGTTTGACCTGAAATCCTTCCTGCTCCTCAAATGTTGTTTTTTTTAACAATGATGAGGTCTCTAATGACTAACCACTACCATGCTGGCAGCAGGGTTGCAAATTTTACACATTTCAGCCATAATTCCATCTGTATTTGTATAAATATCCATTCCCTCCTCCCTTATTTTTGTGTTCTTGTACATATTGCAGAAGACCAAATGAGCAAATTCCTGCAGTGCCTCCTTTGTCCTGTTTCTCTGCCACAAACCCCCATTGTGACTTCTTAGTAAAAATGAACGTGCCAAAAAGACTTTTGTTAAATATATATCCATCAGAGTTCAGTTATTACAGCTGATTAAATATGTGGATGTATATTGTTATTGTTAGTGTTATTTACATTACTTCAAAATAGTTGAACACTACATTCTTCCATTTACCCTTTCACAAATGTAGAAGAACCCCTAGTGGTCCAAGTTCCTCTAATGGGAATCACTATTCTACCATCTGTCAGTGAAATTTTTCTGATACTTCAACACCGCCATGGTCATTGTATCTTTTTGGTTGTTGCCTATAAGCCATACAATGAGACAAAGTCTTATTTTTAACAATATTAACTGCATGACTATCTAATGCTGTGTAGAAATTCCTAAGTTAATTGGGAAAAGGTCTTTTGTCAATAGGCTAGGCATCCAATTGTTACCATTGTTGTTGACATGATCAGTACTCTTCTTGGCGTCGTCAATGGGAACACTATGTACCTCTACCGACACCTGAGGGTCAACAATGGAGGTGGGCTTGTCCCATTGCGGTTTTGGCAGCTGCTGACCTGAAATAATCTTAAAAGAAATAAACAGAGGTCTCAGTTTTGGTAGAGCATGATTATAAAATGGCAAAACAAATGCATATCTAGCAACAGTTCTGATACTGATACACCGAAGCTTTTAAGCTACATTCACATGACCTGCTGAAGTGGTGAACAAACCAAATCTGATTTAATTTTTTTTATCTAGTTTGGGCCACTTGCTGCTCCTAGAACTCTGACAATGTGACCACTATCAAAACTGTCATACTGGAATTCATGTGGTGTTTTATTCACTCCTCTGTGCATGTACACTTTGCCATTTGTCACTATTCAATATCAGCCCCTTCGCAGACAGGTAAAAAGAAGCATGGAGGAGAGCAAAAACAAGAGGTGTCAGTGGAGATATATGACACATACAGTACAAACATGACTGTAAACCATTAAAAGTCTGGCTCTGACTAACCATTTGGAACTGACCATTAAGCCCTGTATTGTGAACATAACAAGCAAGCATACTCGTTGTGGTCCAGATTTTCTCCATGGCTCATATTTAGTTTCATAATGCATAATCCTAGAAGCTTTGCAATAACACATCCATTCACCAATGGCAAAGCTTAAAATTCTCATACAGTTCAATGTTGAGGAAAACTGTCATCATTCAAATCCAAATGCACAATTTTGCTACTACTACATTTAGGGCAGGTTTTGTGCCACCTTACCCGAACAGTAAACAGGACAGGTCTGTGTCCAGGACCTCCGCCAACATTCTCTGGATTGAAGGTAGTGTCAGGCTGGCACATAAAGGGAGGCTTCAGGATGTACCCACACTGACCATTCTGCAGGAACCTGCCTTGGTTTAGGTCCATCTGCTCACCAGGTGTTTGGAAGTTCAAAGCAACTGGAGAAAACACAACACAACTCTGCTAACACCGCAGTTATTGGGTGGGTTGTCACACAGACTAAAAAGATTAAGGTAACAACTAAGAAGGATTTGTGTCAGTTGACAACTTTTCATTGGTCTGTCTTCTCTAGTGAATTGAATCACTTTAAACACACTCACCAATCTGACAGCCTGCATTCCACATCTCCTGAGGATTGTAATTGGAGGACTGGAGGCGCTGGCCTGAGGGGTAGATTCTGCTGAGCTGGTGACTGTTGTGACGCACAAACGACATCCCTGAAGGACAGAATAAGGAAAGTTCGGTTGCTCCAGTTATCCAGTGATGACTTTTTTTGTCCTTGTGCTGCCTAAATGAGGTAACATTAATAGAGAAGTGTAGTATCTTACCCAAGACCTTAATGTGCCTGAGGGCTTCGCTTTCAGAGAAAGAGGATATGTCAGTTGCTGGGTTTTTGGCAGCTTGCTCAAAGCTTTTAAAAGGAACACTGCGGGTGTATACCACCAGCTCTGACAGCTCTGGACTCAGCTTAGACAAACCTGGCTGAGATAACATACAGAGAAACTGATCAATTTCTTTATCAGTTCAACTGTTACAATAAACAACTGGTCAGTGCAATCACTTCATCACAATTATTTTCAACATTTGGTTGTTCCACAGGGGGGAAATAAACTGTGACTTCACCAACACTCCCTTTCCCTTCCTCCACCTAACAGCACCCACCAAGTAATTGGTGAGAGCCACTGGTGGTGTTCTACCCACCTTTATGTCTTCTTTTGCTCTACTGGGTTTGCCATCAGCAGGACTGGCTTCCTCCTCTGAGGAGCTGATGTCTGAAGAGCTAGATGAGCACTCCACAATGTACTCCTTCTTCCCCTTCACCAGGATTTTACCCTTCAGATCCTGCACACACAGCCAATGTACACAACACACATACACAGTAAAACGATAACATTAAAATGCTTTTGTCATGTTAACAATACCACTAGAGCTACTACTGAAACCACCATTACTGCACAGCACTAACAATACTAAATTAATACTGCCACTTCCACTGCTACCATACTCATAATTCTGTCTTTAAAATGTTAGGGGGTATGTAACTTTAGCATTAATGTGACAGGACCTCAGTGTTTCTTTCTGGGTTTCCCAAGTCTGGAGAATATGTAATGCGGTACAAACATGCCCCTACTTAATCACACTGAATATATTTTTCTAGTTCATCCAAGTAGAGAACAGTTACTCCTAACCTCTGGAGAAGGTAGTGTGTGAGACCCAAGATCATCGATGGGCTTGGTGAGGAGCTTGTCTCCTAGGATGGATCGCAGGTGTTGAGCCATTACTCTCTGCTGCTCCAGAGAGCAGTGATTTTCCAGGGATATTATCAGAGGGTAAGGAGAAGCCTGAGAGAGAGAGAGACAAAGTGCAAAGTCAGTAAGGAAACAGTTTTCTACATGAAGCAGAAGTATATTATATCATAGATTTGTTCACACAAATTTATTACATTAATTAATTTGGGTTCACTTTTCCTGGCAGCACAAAGATGGTGTAGCTTCAAACAGCAGTGTTTCTTTATTTTCATTGTCTATGTTTTTGTGCACTGTTTCATATTTTCCAGCCATGAATGAATGCACCTATGCTGACGTGAACTGGTAAGTCATATTGGCAGACAACTGAGTGAATATTTTTTGTCCAGTACATGTACATATGATATGTTTTTAGTAGTGTACTCACTTTAAAAGCGTACTCATTGATAGTCTCAATGACGTCAACAAAGGGCACTTTGGAAGTGAATGTGTGACCGTGGTAGATGACTGGCTGTCCTTTATCTCCATCCCAACAGTCCAGCTCCACACAGCGACAGCCATGATTCAGGGCTCTAAAAGAAATATCATCTTTAAGAGTTTCTATAACAGAGATGATTCCACGAGAAAAGGTATAAAGGGCACTAAAGAACTTGTAAGTCATCTGTGTCCTTTAGGTCTTTGTCACAGTGACCAATATTACCAACAACAACTGGAGATGAGTTGGGTTCCCATCCACTGCTTGTATCTTTTTAAAGATATGGCCTTTTTAGTGTAGGGGCCTGAACCTTCTCCATTCCTCAAATAACAATAGCCTCACAGCTGCCAAAAGTATTGTATATTTGGATCAATGATGATGAGAACAGACATTTGTCCTGAAACTTAAAATTAAATAGAAAATACAATTTCCTTACTTGAAAATGCTATAGCACTATGTAGTCTATCCATCTGTCCCTTTTCAAACAGTCATCTGGATCTGTGTCATGATGCCAGCAGATTTAGCAAGACAGTCCAGACATCCTTATCCTCAACTATGTCCTCCAGCTCATTTTCTAGGATCCCCCAGAAAGCCCTCTAGGGAATCTCTTACCAGTTAGATGTGCCCAAAATACCACTAAAGCAAGGGACTACAAAGTTTAACACAGTGGTTTAATATTTCAGAGCACTCAGCTGGTAGATATGGTTACAGTGTCACCAAGCACAATGATGATGAATGAAATTGTCATCCCACAAAAGCTACAAAAGAACTGACTCTGGTCTTGTGATAACAAGAGGGACAGAGCAGTAGCCACAGGGAAGAAACTGATAGTTTCTCTTGAACAAACAGGTCAAGTCAACATACAAAATCCATTAACTGTGCACACTGAAAAAACACTGAGCTCAGGCAAAAAACTGAAACACACTCAGGAGAGTTTAAGAGCAATTCTGGCAGGACTGGGTTGAACGGGTCGACTTCCTCAGAAGTAGAAAACCTCCAAACCCTACAAGCTGAGAATGCAGAGGCAGAGACAGGTCAGGAGTATGTCGGAACATAGCCCGCTCATGTTCTACAATGTCAAGCAAAATAACTTATAAGTAACAGGAGTGGGAGAGCTTTGTAGTAGCAGGGACTTCAGAAGTGGAGCAAAAACCCTGTAATGACCAAGCTTTTATCTTATTTGTTTAGTTGTTGGTTAACTGGGTTTTCTTAGCCTACCAAGTTACAACAGATTGGCACTTTAATTCAAAACAAATTGTGTATGTACAGTATGTGCACTGCCCCAGTCATTCTTACCGGATGTATGGCTCTGTGCTGCTGTCTCCACTCACTTGGTCCTTAGTGAGATAAGTGTTGTGAGAAGAGGAGATGAAGTAATGTGCTAGCGGGTGTTTCATGTCTTGGTAAACCCTTGCATGGTCCGGATTAAAGACACAGTTTTCCTTAGACAGCATGTACATTGTGAAACCATTGGGAGTCATGAACTGGTTCTTCTGAGCTGTACTGAGCAAAAGGCACAAACACAAGTCAATAAAGAACAAGAATTATTAAAGTGATCAAACTGGTGGTAGTAGTATTAGTGCAGTTTGTACATTACAACAAAATATTTAGCGACTTTGGTTCTAGCATATGGTCTTTTGGATGTAGAGCACAAAAGAGTTAGAGACACTCATGCTGTTGGTTTTGGTGGTGGTGGCGGGGTGGGGAGGTTTACTCTAGTTCTATTAAAAGCATTAAGTCTGATTTTTTTTATGCAAACTATGTTTTGTAATTTTATTGAATGCTGCATCTTGTTTCTTGTTGTTCAAACTTTCATAAATTAATTTCATTGTTTTGACCACTGAGTGAGTAAGATAGAATTAGGTTTAGCATCAGATTGTCATTTTGAGTTCCATAGACAACATTTAATGGTCTGATATTTTATCACACCTGATAAATACTGGTACTTTGGAATAATGCATATTGTTACTTAGCACCCTACCCCACTCATTAAGTTCATAAGTGAGTATGAGGCTTTGGGCATGGATAAGTGAAGCATCCTCCCCCTGGTCTTTCAAGAAGTCCCTCAGGTCTGCAGTGGAAAGTACACAGCCATTTGCAGAGTAGCGGATAAACACGGCATCCAGTTCTGGTCTCCGTAACAACTCCCTGCAGAAAACTTCAATCTCCCCATGGTCCAAACGACCATCAGCTGACCGGTCACATTTCTATCAAAGAGAATCAATGAGACGCAGATGATCACTCTTGAGTAACAATTTTCAGGCTTGCTTCAATGTCTCATACTCAAAACAAAGCATAGTTCATGGTGGTCTGTCATCAGTCAAGTGAAAAGTACACAATGTTGCAGTAACACAGTTTTAAATATTAGTTTACACTCAAGATAATGTGATAAAGATTTTAAATATGTCTGTGCGTGTCCAGCCACCTGGAAGAGGCTTTGGGCATACTGGTCACTCAGGTCAATATTGATCATCTGCAGCAGCTTCTGGACCTCATCATAGCTCATCTTATCGTCATGGTTCTGGTCAGCCCGACTCAGGTAAGCATGAATCCAGGTGACACACAAACAATGTCAAGGAAGCAGCAAGAGGATAAAGAGAGAGTGGATGATGGCAAAAATAACTGTTTTTGTTCAGTAGTTACTTGTTACACTGTTTAATAATAAATTAATAATGATAACCTTTATTTGACCAAGTGTGTTACACACAAGGAACTTGTTTGTGGTACAGAACCAAGGCAGCCATCTGCAGTGCCAACTCCTCTAACCATTGGGGGCAACTTGGAGGTTCAGTGTCTTGCCCAAGGACACTTTGACATATGGACTGCAGGCACCGTGATTCAAAGCTCCGGTTGGGAGACAACTGCTCTACCCACTGAACCACATTCGCCCCCTTGTTTGCACTTATGGGGTCACCAACGATAAGTGTTTAGAATTTTTTCCAAATTTATATGACAATGGGCCTTATGGAAGAAAAATGTCATACCCTTGTCCAAAATTTCTCTGACCTTTCTTTGTGAGGCTTGTTGGTACAAGTGTCCTAAGTAGCTCACAACTCACAGTGTGGAGCTTCAGGTCTGCTAGCACACATCAGCTAACTAAATTGTAACAATTTTATTCATCTAATTCACATTAAAGGAGACAAAATAATTAGAAAACATTAACAGTACACAGGGGCAAGACAGTGGCGCAGTGGTTAGCACCATTGCTTCACAGCAAGATTGTTCTAGGTTCAAGTCCCAGTGCCTTTCTGTGTGGAGTTTGCATGTTTTTCCTGTTCCTGGGTGGGTTCTCTCTGTGTACTCTGGCTTCCTCCCACAGTCCGAAGACATGTGGCTTAGGTTGAATAGAGACTCTAAATTGTGTGTGTGGTTGTTTGTCTATATGTCAGTCCAGCTCCTTGCTCAATGCCACCTGGGATTGGCTCCAGCCCCCCCGTTCAGGAATAAGCCGTATAGAGGATGGATAGACCTGTCAGTGGTGTGTGATTGTCATCAGCCCTGTGTGTTTTGGCTCTTATTTTTCGGATGTTCATTTCCTCATCTAGCCTCTAGATGTCCCTGGATTCCTTCCCTTGCCCTCTGTTCCCAGTCACCTGTCTCTGTTCACATATTCCATTTCTCTCATTAGCTCCCCAGTATGTATACCTGTCGGTTTCCCTAGCTCGCAGCTAGATAATCTGATGTGTTCGCTGTAGCCTTAGTGGTCCAGCCACCTTTTCCCTTATGTTCCTTGTACTTTCCTTGGCATTCCCTTTAGATTTTTCACCTGTTTTTGGATTCACCCTAAATTGTTGGACTCTTGCCTTAATGTATTATAATGTAATTAACATATTATTTCTTCCTGTCCACCTCTGCTTGCACTCCGATTACTTCTCCTGACATGGTTTTGTATGCCTGGCGTAAAGCCGCGTCTACACCACAAGCTTTTCAGTCACGTTTGTTATGCAAGTCACGCAACCAATACAGTCCTATATTAATCAATCCAGCTGGCTACACTGCCTGCGTGTCAGTTTGTGTATCACTCACACTTTACACTTGTAGCTGCAACCTGAAGTGTATTTTCGTGCTTCAAGTCTATATTTTTCAGAGCTACGTATATAAAACACTCCACAGAATCAACCAAAACAATGAAAGCTCACTAATTCCAACCAGAGCTCCACCAAAACAGAGAAATACATCAAGTAAAACAGTTCAAACACATAGTGTATCATCGGTTACATCAATCCTACTGAACATGGCAAGTTCTTTTTCATGTATTTTAAAGCTTAGTTTCCATTTGCTGTATTTTGCCATGGGTTGGATACATTGTACAGTGTAACCAGTAATTCCTTCACTCTCTACTATTTGGCATAGTTTTGGACTGTAGTTTTCCCTTTCCAAATGTGTTTCTGTAGCCCCCCTTTGGGTACTTTTTGTACACCAAGTGCTTCCACTGTGCAAGTGAACACACGTTCAGTGTGGACACAAGCACAAGCCTCTAGCAACCTGCACACCAGATGTTACTGCACATGCTGCACATGTGATGTAGACAGGGCTTTACAGTAAGCCTGTATTTTCAAGTGCTGTCAGTAAATTGTGTAACTGCATCTGTCAGCTTGTATGTCCTGTGTGCCTGTGCTCGAATCCTATTCCTACATCTGCCATTTTGTATCAGAAACCTGACATGTTTGTTATGGTTAGTCCCCCTCACCAGGAGGGTGAAGGAGAACTGCTGTAGGACTCAAGTGTGCTGACCCAGGTGCTAGTTAAGAAAATGTAGTTTAATGGAACAAAAACACACACTAAGTAACAACATAACAAGGGCCATGAACATATATAAGCAAAGTAGGGCAGAGACGGTGGAGGAGACCAGGACGAGCGGGTGAATAGAGCAGACTAACGGTTGGAACCAGGAGAGGAGGAGAATCAGGACGGACAGGGGAACAGACAAGCTAACCAGGAGGGTAGGCGAACGAAAACGGAAATCCACAGCACAGGAACTGTCAGCGTGGATAACAAAAAATAACGTCTAGCTAACCTCACAGAAAAAACAGAGATCCACAGCACAGGAACTGTCAGTGTGGACGTCTAGAGACATAACACAAAACATATAACCTACGTACGTAATGAGATCCACAGCACAGGAACTGTCAGTGTGGAAGTCAAACGACGTGCGACACATACCACGACTATCGGTCAGTTATGGGGTATGCACACTCGGTAAGGTAGGTAAGGTAGGTATACGCTAATGCAAGTTCAGTTAAGGCTCCGGCAACAACGGAGCATCTGCCACAGGTATAAATAAGGAGGACAGGTAATCATCTGGATGCACCCCAGCTGTGTGCACTGACAAACGAGTCGCTAATTACTGGAATGCAACACAGCTGAGGTGCAGAGACCGCAAGATTGAGAGAGCAGAGGAGAGAAAGGTGGAAGAGAGGCAGGTCGCGCCGAGCGGACCTGACAATGTTATCAGAGCAGCAGTGACAAAAATTAGGAATATTTAAGGCTACATGAAGTGAAACTACATGTTCTTTCCAAAGCAAAGTGATCCATGACTAATATTGGGGTGGGACAACTATCACTGACAGAGAATATTACAGGGAATGTTACACTGCTAGCTGCAACAGGCATGATACTAGACAAAGACCTCTCTGATTGGTTAAGCATGCCATCCTGGTCAGAAACCTTTAGAAGGGAATATCTCTGCATTGCTGCCAGGCTCTTTGATAGGTCTGTGGTCACAGGAGCCCTCAACAGCAAGTCTGTTCAGGGCTCATATAACAGGGCTGGACCACTTGTGAATACATAAGATAAATTTGTGACAGAAGTATGAGAAAACCGGTGAATGCCAGAAATTGTCTTCAATTATATCACTTAAGATAGAGTCTGTTTATACAACTTGTTCTTGCCCAAAATCATGTGCTGCATCCTTGGCATTATTATCTCCCCATGTACAGTGTAGGCAGCTCTACATTTCCAAATAAACAGAAATTAGGATATTGGTCAAGTTTCTCCTTCTGGGTCATGTTCTCCACCCTCTCCTGCAACGTTCGGATGCCGCGAGCCCAGTGCTGAGCCTCCTCTTGACTCTGGCAAAAGAGATCCAGGCTCTTACGGGGCCCTTTGAAGATAACGGTCAAACACCTTTCCTCGGGTACTGAGGCAACCAGTTGCTTCAGTGTCTCTGACTGGAACCCCTCCCGAATGCACTCCACCTCCATGACAGAGACTGAGGGTGTATGAGGAAACACAGAGAGAAAATGATGTATGAAGAATAAAAATTAAGTAAAGAACAAGCCATTTTAATTATCCTTCCTGTTTTTTAATGCCTTCACCAACCACACTGTCAAGTTTGCATATGACACGACTGTAGTTTGCCTCATTACCAACAATGATGAGGCCAACTACAGGAGTGAGGTGTGCCAACTGGTCCAGTGGTGTAAGGACAACAACCTCTTACTCAATGTGGGAAAGACTAAAGAGATCATTGTGGACTTCAGGAGAAAGGAGGTTGGACAGGAAATATTTGTACAAGACATTAAAAGGAGACCACTGCAACAAACATGATAATTAAGAAGCCTTATTGTTCCAAAGAGTAGACAATTCAGACATTTGTCTCCTCCAGACATTGAAGGGCTAAAACAACATGTTATGCTACTGTAAGCCTAGACTGCTGGGGGTCCTTGTAGCCCTGAGCTCCGCTCCTCTCCATGTATTTATACACCACCAATGCATATGTTGTGTCTCCCAGAAACTAGATTCTTATTTAAACTTTTGAAGAGCTCTGATGTTTGGGGAAAGCAGGCTATATCTGTAATGCTCCAGGGTGTTACCAAAGCAAGACATGCAACACACACAGGCATTAGTGGTTAGAGGACGTCTTAAAACACACATACGCACCAACCTGCACACACAGACCTGCACTGGACCATATCACAAGTAAATCTAGTCTTGTTAAAATTAAAGGCCTTGTAGTATATTTGGAAGTCTTATGGATAATAATAAAGCACCAAACCACAGGTTCCAGGGCTGACGCCCATAATCATACCACATAATATCTCATACCTATAATATCACTGCTTGAACTACAACAAGCCTGAAAATAGATGAGCTCTATAACCAAGGCACAGAAAATAGCAGATGAAAGGGAGAGTAATCTATGTGTGTGCAATGCAGTAAGTACCAGTTAAAGTTAACAAAAACAAATACAACATGTTCATGTTTCACTTTACACACCCAGTCAGCACTTAGCTCTTCTGGAACCACTTTTATGAAAAAAGAATGGTCTACTAGTGGGTGGGGGTGGGGGTTAAAGGATGATTTCAAAGGGTTTAAAGAGCTTATTACGCAGGGGGGTGGCGGCGTCTTAAAGGATTATTTTGAAGGGTTTGGAGATTTTATTATGCAGTGCTTCATGTACAGTAGAGGTTTTCATGGGTCCACTTAGTTCCTCCTAACTGAGAACTGAACCCCAAGGTCCACATTATCTGTAGTATACACAGTGTGTAGTATACTGTTGTATTGCTGCCCCAGATCTTGGGTCAGCCAGACGATCATACAATTCTTTGTTTTCTAAATGCACGTCTTACAATATTATTCCAAAATAACCGTTAACATAAGAACATGTGTCAGACCAATGTATATCAGCTGTTTTTGTGGCATGCGTCTCACATAACCTATATAGTTCTATTATAATTAGTCCAACTGTTCACACTGCCTGCGCATTGTTTCATTTATCACTTGCATTTTACACAATTAGGGCAGAGACACACCAAGCCGATGGTCAGCCGTCAGCTAAACATCCTCTGAAAACACTTCAATCTAGAAAATTGCCCTTTAACACTAAATCCAAATCCTAATATACACAAGGTATGTCAGACTCTTTTAACTTGTGAATTTTCCTCGTCTTTCAATATGTGGATGTCTTCATTTCAATTTAGCTTCATATGTTTCTGTAATGACTCATGTCAAATTCATATGCAATAATAAACTGATAAATATACTATAAAAGAACACAAATACTTACAGGATTGTTGCTCCTTGGCCCTGCTGGATGTTTTGTGTGACTGACACCACACAGTGACACCATCTTCCAGCAGTTTCAGAGTTCGTCGCTTCTGCCAGCGAGGTGAGCGGACCTTCACACATGATAAATTAACTCTAATTTATTTTCTTGCACTTACCAGCTACTGCTGACAATTAACAACCAGTAGTTTAAAATTCCCAATACCTTTACCACACTGGAGCCCTGTAACATCTGCTTCACATCTTCATCATCTTGAACTCCTTGAAATAAAACAGACAAAAAGTTGTTTGAAGAAAACTGGATGGAGCTCGTGTTAAAACTTGACTGTGTACATGATGGCTGTTAGTACATACAGAATCCTAATTTGTGCTCAACTCGGTAGCACTAAAAGTAGGCAGTTGGTTACAGGCAGCATTAATTTTGTCAATGAAAATATATGTTGATGATGAAAATGAGATTAAAATTAAATAAAAAACACTTGATAATAAGAACTATGGTGAAATGTTTTACATTTTTTATCACCAAATAAAAACTAAATGATAACCGAAAGCACAGCATGTGCAGTACATAACATCTCACATGCACATCACGGGAGACTTATCCTCATGTCTATATTGGGCATGTGTTCACTCACGCATGTTCTTGGTGAACAAGAACACATAGAGGAGCCTACATCAAAGTTGGCCTGCTGGTACTCATCAGCTGCTTCAGGAGACCCCTGAGCCAACCAAGCCCTGTAGTCCTCCTTCTTCAGCTTGACGGCTTCCTTCACCGCTGGTGTCCACCAGCCGGTTCTCAGGTAGCTGCTGCAACAGGCACCGATGACCTTCTGGCCACAACTTAGAATAGCTTCTGCTACAGTGGAGGGTTTGAACATGTCCCATTTGGATTACATGTCCCTAGCCTCCCCCACAACATGAGAGAAATTCTTTTGGAGGCTTCAGCCAGGCATTCCCAGCACACCCTCAATATACGTTTGGGTTTGCCAGGTCTGTCCAGCAGCCTCCCCCACCATCTAAATCAACTCAACAACACATGGTGAGCAGACACAGGTCTGCTCCAACATGTGGCCAAGACGTGCGGCCTTAGATCCAATGATAACACAACAAAGTCGATCGTCGATCTAAGGCCAGAGTGTTCTCGTACCAAGTACAAATATGAACAGCCATGGTGTTTGTTATTGCCAATCCATGACTAGCACAGAAATACCACCACCAATACCAAAGCATCATTCGTGTTCAGATCGGGCATACCGCTCCTCCCAATCACCCCCCCCCCTCCCGGTTTCTCTATTGTTTCCAACATGACTGACGAATTAGGGCAGCACGGTGACATGGTGGTTAGTGCTGTCGCCCCACAGCAAAAAGGTTCCGGGTTGAACCCAGTGCCTTTCTGTGTGGCGTTTGCATGTTCTCCCTGTGCCTGTGTGGGTTCTCTCTGGGTACTTCGGCTTCCTCCCATAGTCCAAGGACATGTAGCGTAGGTTTATTGGCGACTCTAAATTGCCTGTAGGAGTGTGTGTAGTTGTTTGTCTACATGTCAGTCCTCTGATAAACTGACCTGTTCAGGGTGGACCCCGCCTCTTGCTCAGTGTCAGATGGGATTTGCTCCCGTCTGCAAAACGACATTTTCATAGTAGTTTCCACAGAATTGCTCAGTAAAGGCATGTACAGAGCTAACTGAAGCGTCTGACTTGTTGAAGTTGTGTGTGATGCGAGGTCATAAAGCTTCATGCAGTTCTCACAAGAGGTCTCTGGGATGATCATCCAAAGTTGCAGATGAAGTAACAGAGGACCTGGGCACACAGCGCCAATAGCAGAGATATCATTCACCTTATTAGAAGTCAGTCTATGATGATTTTGAAGTTATTTGTTACATTTTGTTGCTGTAACAACTGTTAAGGAATAGGATCCCTTAGGAATTGCTTTTAAAATACATCAGGCCATGAGACTGTAGTTTTTCCATTTCTCATTTTTATCACACTATGGTTGTGAGATTGGGGCCGCATCGTCGATTATTCTGCGGATTGTTTTCACCAATTGATATTAATTCTTTGATCTATAAAATGTTTGAAAATGAGAAATAGTCATAGGTTTCCAAAGCCCAGGTATTTCAGGTGGCTTTTTTATGTTTTGTTTTGTCATTTTACCAACAGGCCATATTTTATGTGGCATTATTTCATTAAAAATTAAAGCAATTATCAAAACTGATGCAGATTAGTTTGATGATCAGTCACTAGTCAACTAGGCCTAATCTACTCAGCTCTATTTAATCTCTTTCACCCAGATGTTAGAAATAGATGTCCTGTTTTACATAATAAAAAAATAAATAGTACACTGGAGTTTTATTCACATTTAGCATTGTTAAGCTGGTTATTTGTAATTGCATTGAGTGGGTTTCCATCTGTTGCGATGGACTGGCGACCTGTCCAGGGTGTACCCCGCCTCTCGCCCGCAGCTGGCTGGGATAGGCTCCGCCCCCCGTGACCCCGTTTGGGACTAAGAGGTATAGAAAATTGATGGATGGATGGATGGATGGATGGATGGGTTTCCATCTGTTTTTAAAATTGGCACAGTTTAAACCTTTGAGACAATTTCCACCTAGCTGTAAGCTGTCAGTGGAATTTGACATTAATTAGAATAAATGAATCACTTTAAGTATGCAAAAATGAAAATATTAGAAAAAATACGAATTATATTAATGTTAGAGAAATTTAAATTGAGGTTTAAAAAGCAACTACATTAAGTGAAAACATACAGGCCTATTTTAAGTTAATATTGCAATAAAAATATTACCAATACTTAAATATTTGGGGTAATCATTAAACATTTTCAGTAGGTTATTTGAATTGATTCTGTTTTACAGTGCTCAGTAGTCAGAGTACACAGGACACATTCAGATTATAGGGGCTGTGACAAACACTCACCCAGATTCCTCAGAGGATCGATGGCCTTTGAATGGGACATCCTGGCACCGTCTTTCACCACCTGCGCTGCTTTGTTTCTGTTGCCTGTTACAAAATCCAAAGAAGCTGCGCCTGGTTTCGTTATGCACCGCTCTCTTCCTTTGCCTTCCCGTGTTGGTTGTCTGACCCAGGCTATCAGCAATTGATAAGTGGATAATCTGCACGGAGCCCCTGTAGGAGGTGAATGTGAGAATCTCTACAGCCACAGCGCCCCGCAGACTGCTCCTTATATCCTGGAGGAAAACAACTCGAGTCTGGCTAAACCCTTAATTTCCCTTCTGATGTCACTGAGACCGGATTCATTCATTAGATGCCGCATGAGCTTTTTCTATCATCACGGCGATACGTCACTGCGGCCGCCATGTTGCAAGGGGCAATGCTGCGCCTCCCCACGCATTTAGCCTCGTGAATCCCTTTTCCACTAATTGCATCCACATTTCCCTCACTTGTCTCTTTTCCTTGTGTTTTAGTCTCGCACACGTAAGATGCAAGGAAGAGATGCAAGGGCAAATTGCAAGGAGAGAGGAATCGAGGAAACACGTTTTAACCTATGACTTTCACTTACTGTACACGAGACGTCCTTTCATCCCGTCCTTGATGTAAAAGCTCCAATCACTGGCTGATTTCCATTAAAGGGGCATGCCAAGCCTGAACAGACTTCCGCGAAGGATACACTCATGTATCCTCGGTTATAACTCCTCTAGGCAGCCTCCTCGAATGTTTTATATATAATGAGTTGTTTAATGTGAAGTGATTGGGGAGCAGAAAGAAATGCATCAAAGATCATATACATTGTATTGATTAGACCAATACTGGATCATGCAATGTGGTATATGGATTAGTAGTACATACATCTCTAAAAAAAAATTGATCTTATTCAATATCGGGCTTTAAGACCGCTCAGGACAACTCCAACATCAGCCCTAAGGGTTGAAATGGGGGAAATGAGGCTGGAGGTGAGAAGACTTCAACCTATGCTTAATTACTGGGTTAATTGAGAGCAGTGATCATGCAGAATTAACCAGCATGTAAAAACATTTTTATCTCATTGAAGTTTTTCTGGGTAAATAAAGGTTAAATTAAATAAATCAAATTAAAATAATCATTCAGACAGCCAACCTGATGCTTTAGCAGAAATTCATTGTACTTTAAATAGAATTCAAATGATGGCTATAACATTTGTATGGACACCAGCTCAAATAGGAGTGATAGGAAATGAAGTAGTTGACAAATGGGCAAAAGAAGCTATGAAACAAAGAAATATTGGAATTATAGTGTTGGTGAATGATAGTAAAACAAAAGTAAGGGTAATTGTAAAAGGAAAATTGAAAGAAAGATGGCAGAAACAATGGGAAAAAAGAGGCAACAGGAAGATGGTTATATAAGATCCAAAGACAAGTGGGTGTGGCAATAAGCACTGGGAGAAGTAGGAGAAAAGACTTCCAGGTTATGCTTTGGGCATATTGGACTAAATAGTATATTATTTATCATGGGAAAATGTGTTTCTGGAAGATGTGATTTCTGTGGGGAGGAAGAAACTATAGAGCATGTTATGTTATACAAAATATATATGAGGTTGAGAGGAGGGAAATTATTCAAAAATTTAGAAATATAAAGGTGGCATTGTTCTGTATGTTATTTTATAAAGAGGCTCTGCAGGCAAATGTTTTTTTTTATTCCAGTATTTACGAAGAATGATCTTGATAGAAAGAATTTCTGTAATTCTATTAAAGATTAGTAAATTATTTATTATTGTCTTAACTGTGTAATATTAGATCTAGAGTAGACCTGTTCCTGAATCGTTTGATGGCAACAATGCACCATTTTATTGTTTTGTTGAAGAAGAAGAGGCCTACAAATATTCAGTTAGGTACCAGTAGACGTCATCAGGAGTCATCAGGATCTTCTGCATGAAACATTGACTATATATTCAAGGATTAGCCATGTCAAGGAAGTTATCATGCAGGTTCCAGCACAGGGGGATACTGGGAAATGAGAAGTTAGACAAACTAGCTAAAGAAGCAACAAGTAAAAAAAGATATAGAAGGTAACATAAACATGTCAGAAGTGAAATGTTAGTATAGAGTAAAATTAATCAAGAATGGCAACAGAGACGTGTTAGTGAAATTAAGGGAAGGCATCTATATAGGATACAATAAGGTGGGAGCAAGGGCAGACTGAGAACAAGTAATAATTAGTAATAACTTCACTCATATACTGTAGTGTCACCAAATTCACTTCACACATTAATAGCCATCTGCTGATTGTACTACAACACTTAAGCTGGCCTTACACTTCAAGACTATGATAAGACCCAAAAAAGACATTTAAAAGAATAAAGTCTGACATCCTCTCACATCTAAAGACAATGTGTCAAGGTTTTAGTTATAAACTCTGATTTTGCAAAGACTGAGGATCATGCAGGGTCACTATTTGCAAGACTGCACCTAGATTTCTCTGGAGACTACTTCCCATATGCTTCTGCATTTGGCTACAGCTGCACTTGTTTGGGCAGTGTTTTGCTTGGAAAAACAGCCAAAAAGAAAAAGAGAAGACACTACAGAATGTGGACATGACCCTGGTTGACCAAAAGGTCTGTCCACCTTTTCTCTTTCTCCACTCTGTCACGGTACAAACTGGATGACATATCAAACAGACACTCTTGCTCACTCCACAACTCCACCAGTGTCTCCTTCTTTGTAATGGTCCAACAAAACCATGCATTCTGAGGCATGGAGTCATATTTATACATTGAAATCACCTAAAAAGTTGTTAGGTGTAAGCCCGACATTGGAAAAAGATGTTATTCCATAAATATGGTGAATTTTTATTGGGAAGAATGGGTTATTCATTTATTTCACTGTCAGACAGTAGTGTCAACACAATCACTCATCATTATGGGTAGGCTAGAAACCCCATGAAAATGAACGATTTTGTATGTAGGAAGCAGCGTCTTGCAAAAGGAGCAGAGCAAGGTGAAGAGGGAGGATTTTCAATGTTTCAGGTGAGACACTAATTCACAGGGGTGGGGATGGGGGTGTCTCTACCCATGCTGAGACCAAACCTATGCCCTTGAAATCATGTCATCATTTCATGCAAGGACTATTCAGGAGAAAGGCTAGATATGTTTACTCAGATTCATGAATTAGGGTTAGTAAATATAAAGTTAAAAAGTATAGTAGAATTCGGAGGGAGTGGACGAGGGAGAACAGTGTTATAGGTTTACTTGAGGGTAACAGACCTAATAAAAACTATTTAAGATACGACACAAGATGGCAGTAATGCAACATTAGGATGCCAACTAACGTAAAACACCACAGAAGGAGAAGAAGAAGCAACAGCAGAAGAAGAAGAAGAAGAGGAAGAAGAAGCAACAACAGAAGAAGAAGAAGAAGAGGAAGACAAGTACGTGTCAAGTGATTTGACGCGGAAGTTTTGTGTGTAAACTATATACCGAAGGATCTATTATTGAAACCATGGGCTGGAGAGAGTAGATCAGTACCAGCTTAGGTAGGTGCGTGAGTAGTTTTGCAGATAAACGATGTCGTTGAAGTAAACCCAGAAATAGCCCCGTTTGGTACTGTCCTGAGGAGACAGTCCAGGACAAGGCTAACCAAATAGTCGAAATCGTAGTTGCTTTTATTATTATTTTTGTATTCTCTGTGATACTGCCGATTGCAGGTGACAGGATGCACAGCCACTGGGCTAGGACAGTGCAGCAAGTTAACGGCAGCTATTATATACTGGGTTTCCTAATTTAGAAAGCTGAATTAGCTCCCATGTGTTGTACCTTGCATTCTTGTTTTGTTATCAAACTAAACTGCAATTTAGCGATACGGTATTGGGCATTAGAAAGCAGCACTGTAAACGGTTAAAGTAGTTATAGTCCCTATATGTTGTGGATGAACCTGACACACACAGCGGTGGGTAGTATGAACACTCCTGTGCTAGTAAACACTAGTAAGTAGATCTGTATGTTGGAGCACGAGCCTATCAGCAAAAGTTCAACTTAAGGCGTAGCGCTCTGTGACGTCACCTCGGCGCATCCAACTGCAGAGAACCAAGACCGCAAAGAAAATGGAGGAGAAACTGATTTTGGTAGACCCACACCTTCTCCTTCTTTGCTGCAGCTCGTCTTTTCCTCCTCCTAAAGTTTCTGCAGATATGTTGCTTTTGTTTTTTACGATGGCCTCTTGTACTTACATCAACACCTCGTCCAATGGGCAGCAGCCAAACGCAAATTCTAAATTTGGAGTAAAGTCCAGACATTTTATCTACCTAATTTGTCATGAAATAACAAGGGAACATACCACACCTGACCACGAGACTGCTTGTCGTCAATGTCATATTTTTGTTAAACTCCATGAATTAAAGTTGAAACTCTACGCTTCAGTAACATCTTGATTGCTTCATTTCATATTGTGGACAGAGGCAGAATTAGAACAAAATGTGTCAATGTCCAAATACTTATTGACCTGACTAAATACAGCAAATGTGTTCAGTGTTGCTTGTGACGTAAGTCATAATGTTAATTTTTTAAATTTAACTCTCTTTTCCTGCTACAGCTGTGTGCGTGTGTTTAGCTGCATCTATATCCAACCTGATAAATTTAACAAGTCAGTGTCATGCCAGTCCCAGCTATGGCAGAGCTTCTTGTTGACCACCAGAAACAGTTTCAGGCTGCTGTGGAAGTCATCCATAATCTCCCCAAAAATGGTACGTAGCATTTTGCAACCATAACATATGAGACACCATATGATGGAAAATTTGTTGCTGCTTAGACTGTACAAAGCTTGATTTATGGTTCTGTGTTAAATCTGTTCCATACCTAGGGTGTAGGTAACATATAGTCTTGTATCCTACATCATAGCCTACGTCTTACAATGTGAACCTCTCCAGAAATGTACAGTGCCTTGCGAAAGTATTCGGCCCCCTTGAACTTTGCGAACTTTTGCCACATTTCAGGCTTCAAACATAAAGATATAAAACTGTAATTTTTTGTGAAGAATCAACAACAAGTGGGACACAATCATGAAGTGGAACGAAATTTATTGGATATTTCAAACTTTTTTAACAAATAAAAAACTGAAAAATTGGGCGTGCAAAATTATTCAACCCCCTTAAGTTAATACGTTGTAGCGCCACCTTTTGCTGCGATTACAGCTGTAAATCGCTTGGGGTATGTCTCTATCAGTTTTGCACATCGAGAGACTGAAATTTTTGCCCATGCCTCCTTGCAAAACAGCTCGAGCTCAGTGAGGTTGGATGGAGAGCGTTTGTGAACAGCAGTTGTCAGTTCTTTCCACAGATTCTCGATTGGATTCAGGTCTGGACTTTGACTTGGCCATTCTAACACCTGGATATGTTTATTTGTGAACCATTCCATTGTAGATTTTGCTTTATGTTTTGAATCATTGTCTTGTTGGAAGACAAATCTCCATCCCAGTCTCAGGTCTTTTGCAGACTCCATCAGGTTTCCTTCCAGAATGGTCCTGTATTTGGCTCCATCCATCTTCCCATCAATTTTAACCATCTTCCCTGTCCCTGCTGAAGAAAAGCAGGCCCAAACCATGATGCTGCCACCACCATGTTTGACAATGGGGATGGTGTGTTCAGGGTGATGAGCTGTGTTGCTTTTACGCCAAACATAACGTTTTGCATTGTTGCCAAAAAGTTCGATTTTGGTTTCATCTGACCAGAGCACCTTCTTCCACATGTTTGGTGCGTCTCCCAGGTGGCTTGTGGCAAACTTTAAACGACACTTTTTATGGATATCTTTAAGAAATGGCTTTCTTCTTGCCACTCTTCCATAAAGGCCAGATTTGTGCAGTATACGACTGATTGTTGTCCTATGGACAGAGTCTCCCACCTCAGCTGTAGATCTCTGCAGTTCATCCAGAGTGATCATGGGCCTCTTGGCTGCATCTCTGATCAGTCTTCTCCTTGTATGAGCTGAAAGTTTAGAGGGACGGCCAGGTCTTGGTAGATTTGCAGTGGTCTGATACTCCTTCCATTTCAATATTATCACTTGCACAGTGCTCCTTGGGATGTTTAAAGCTTGGGAAATCTTTTTGTATCCAAATCCGGCTTTAAACTTCTCCACAACAGTATCTCGGACCTGCCTGGTGTGTTCCTTGTTCTTCATGATGCTCTCTGCGCTTTAAACAGACCTCTGAGACTATCACAGTGCAGGTGCATTTATACGGAGACTTGATTACACACAGGTGGATTCTATTTATCATCATTAGTCATTTAGGTCAACATTGGATCATTCAGAGATCCTCACTGAACTTCTGGAGAGAGTTTGCTGCACTGAAAGTAAAGGGGCTGAATAATTTTGCACGCCCAATTATTCAGTTTTTTATTTGTTAAAAAAGTTTGAAATATCCAATAAATTTCGTTCCACTTCATGATTGTGTCCCACTTGTTGTTGATTCTTCACAAAAAATTACAGTTTTATATCTTTATGTTTGAAGCCTGAAATGTGGCAAAAGGTCGCAAAGTTCAAGGGGGCCGAATACTTTCGCAAGGCACTGTATCTGCATGTTGCTGCAACACAGACAGCATCTATGATTGGTTGCATCGCATTTCTTTGATCATGTCTCTTAGTGGATGGACACGGAAAATCCCCGCTTGTTCTGCCTCAGTTGGTTTGGTGGTCATACAGACCATCTCCTTTGACATCTTCTATCTTACCTGTGTTGCAGTAATTTCAGTAAAAGTAACTGCTGTCAACACTATCAACAAGATTATCGACTTGTGTGGGAGTAAAGTTCAGGTGGCCGCCTTCCAATGTGTTGGCACATGCCACTGAAGTAAATAATGATGGGATTATTTCCTTAAACTTGGTAACAACATTGTCAGATAGACATCTGCTGTAGTGGAATTGTTTCCCACATAGAGTATAATCCATTAATGTGAATTCATAAGTTATTAGAAAATGGTCAGACAGAAGAGGGTTTTGGGGAAAAACTATTAAGTGTTCAGTTTCGATGTCATATGTCAGAACAAGATCAAGAGTGTGATTAAAACAGTGAGTGGGTTTATTTATAGTTTAAGAAAAGCCAACTGAGTCTAATAATGAACTGAATGCATTGTTGAGGCTGTCATTGTCAGCATCTGCATGAATATTAAAATCACCCATGTTGAACAGGATTTATGGTTCTGCACTGAACATATAGCCTCATACCCTACGCCATAGCCTGACACGAATCACTGCAGAAATGTAAGTACACGTTTTGGTGACAGAGACCGCAACAGCTATGATTGGTTGCAACACATTTCCATGTTCATTACTGTCAGTGGTTGGACAAGCAGAGAAAACCCACCTGGTCCTGCCTCAGTTGGTTCAGTGGTGGTGCAGACCATCTCCTCCAGCTTCTCCCTTATTTGTGTTGTAGTAATTTCAGTAAAAATAACTGTTGTTTAACATCTCTTAGGTTTACCTCCTGTATGACCCTTTCATTTTCAGTCACCAGAAATGACTAATAATTGGCAAATAAACGCAACACAGTAGCATAGAAACCTTACTGCCTACTAGTGTTTTGGTGGTGTAATTGCAGAGATGAACCAGGGCACAAGTATAAATGCTCACAATGCCATAGGCCACTGGTGAAGTCTCTACATAGATTCAACATGGAACCATAAATCACACTTTAGACTGCAGCTCTGCGTCCTGGTCTGAACTTACCATCAGACTTGGGATCTTTTAAAACACTACTTAAGACCCAATTATTTACACGGGCCTTTGCCTCATAATCAGAGGGACACATATTTGCTGGAAACCAGGTAGGCCTCTGGTTTCTGCTTGTACTTTAATATGTTAATATGTTTTTATTCTATTATGATGTTTTAAATTGGTATATTTCTGATGCTTTAATTTTTGGGCTTGTAATGGCTCAAGTTGTATGCTTTTATTAGATGCTTGTGAAGCATTTTGGTAAAACTATTTTTTAATGTGCTATATAAATAAAATTTGATTTGATCATCCAATCAGAGGAAGGCATGGTTCAAATGAATGAATCTGAGTCATATTTTTTAACCACATGCATTAAGTAACAAAACAATGAAAAATGTATCTTAGAGGTATAACAGTAAATAGATTTTATAGTTTAACCCTAACAACCCGTTGACCACACTTTGTCCAAATTCGTTGGAAATGTACCCTCCTTACTCTTGGTTTCATATCTCACACAGTAACAAACAGTTAAACTTGATAAAAGTCTGTCATCCTACAGGTTCCTACAAACCATCCTATGATGTGATGCTGCGTTTCTATAGTCTGTACAAGCAGGCAGTCTGTGGGCCCTGTACAATGCCACGACCTGGCTTCTGGGATCCAGTGGGGCGCTACAAATGGTCTGTATGTGTTGCCCTGATAAGTGGTCTTCTTGAATACACAGACATACATTTTATACTGTCCTTCAGATTTCCATTCAGAAATGCTTTTTAAATGTTATGGGTGGTTTTCATTATGTATACCAGCAGTCACGGTAACATAAGTTAGCTAGGTTTTTGTATGGAATGTCAGCACAATAAGAATCAATATCAGAATCAGCTTTATTTGCCAAGTATGTTCAAACACACAAGGACTTTGACTCTGGTACACAGGATCCCAATGTCCTTTTGTAAGATAACAAGAAAACTGGTGCAATGAAGAGGCAAAAGCAAGGCAACCCCCCAAAAGGGAATGGTTTTACTTGTGATGGCCAGAGCCACATGCTCCTTATCCTTCCTAACTGATTCTTCTCACGGTCTGTTAGTGTCCTAGTCACTACTGGTAGCATGAGGCAGTACCTGCAGCCCAGTCAGGTTGCACAGGTCATCCAGTTACTCCAAGATGGCACATCCATACATGGAATACAGTGTTTCCCCACAGAATTGCTTATTGTGGTGGTAGCTTGGGGAGTCCATATACAGTATATATCCTTGCTATATACAGTGTGCTGACCTTGGCTACAGCTGTATTCTAACTCCTAGCTTGCTAATAACGTATTAGAAGAGTTGGAGCTCTGCGTTGTGTTAAACACTGAGAGGAGCTGCTGTTCACAGACAGTCCATTGTCATGTGTTTGTGTGTGTGTATGAGAGAAATAAAGTGAGGGACTGAGCAAATACATGCTCTACACACTACATTGAAATAAGATTTAACCCATTTTAAATCAATATGTGGTGGTCTATGTTGATATTGTGGCACAAATAAATCAGTGTATGGGAAACACTGCAGTTGCAAGAAGATTTGCTATGCCTCCCAGCACAGCCTCAAGAGCATGGAGGAGACACTAGGGGACCGGCCATTGCACCAGGAGAGCTGGTCAGGGCCATAGAAGGGCAATAACCCATCAGCAGCACCGGTATCTGATCCTTTGTGCCAGGAGGAAGAAGAGGAGCACTGTGAGAAGCCTACACAGTGACCTCCAGCATCTACTGGTGTGCATCTTTCTGACCAAAGTGTCAGAAACAGACTCCATGAGGGTGGCGTGAGGGCCTGACATCCTCTAGTACATCCTGTGCTCACAGTTCAGAGTCTGGTGAAGGTTATGGCGCCTGTAACATCATCACGCATGACTGGTTTGGTTGTGGGTCAGTGATGGTATTAATCTTGGCTCTACTACCATAGTTTCTTTTCCTCTGTTGCTTTGCCAGAATATTCAAATGACAGTTTTTAAAACAAGATTGACATTCTCCACATTTAGTTTCTCGGTCTTTTCCTACAAATATCAATTGTTTAACACATACCAGCAAATAATTAAGTACAATTGTCTGAATAATTATCAGTGTCCTTTTGATCAAAATACATCAGTTTATTTTAAATTTGTCTTATTCCAAAACATTTAAAAATGTCCCTGTTCACATATCACGTGACATGACTTTATGTAGTTGTTTAAACATATCAGCTGTTCTGAATTTCACATGAATAGATGCAGTCGTGTCACCATGGATTCACACTCCTTCACTTGTTGCACATTTTACAGATGTATTTTTTTTCCACTTCAATATGAGTTTACAAGTCACTAAAATGTGCAAAAGATGAAGGGTTGGGAATCCTTTCTCAAGCAACTTTACATTATATAGTGCAGATTCTGCTATATTGTATTGTAATTGCTCTGATATCACTGGGTGGCTTCCTGCTCCAGCCCCATTTAAATCTGAGAGCTTATCCTGTTTACACTGAATAAGCCTGAGAACAGCGAAAGCTGATTTTCCTTAGCCAAGCTTCTGAAATTTTTGAAACTGAAAAAGCTGGCTTAAAATCCACATTGCATATCACAGTAGTAGTATACAGTATGGCCATAGGCACTGTGGATTAATCAGATGTCACAGATCTTTGTTTATACTGTTTGTACTTGTGTTAGGGATGCCTGGAGCCGTCTGGGAGAGATGAGCAGTGAGAGTGCCATGGCAGCGTACGTGGATGAGATGAAGAGAGTAGCTCAGGAGGTACATGACCATTGCAACTAATATTTTTAGCATGACTGCGTTTTTTAAGATTGCGGGTGAAAATAAGTCATTTGGAAGTACATTTATATTTTAGTGAATGTCTCCAAATAAATACGTATTTGACATGATGGATGATTACACAAATCTATATTTAGATTTGATAAAGGTTTTTGTTGACTCAGCAGGTCATCAACACCATGCCCATGAATGAGAAGACAGCCTCACTCTTCCAATACTTTGAGCCTCTCTACCTGGTAATTGATGACATGCCACGGCCTCCAGGGTCACTTCTCATGCTCAGAGAAGGTCAGTGACATAGTGATGGGTTAAACGAAGCTTTCTGAAGCACTCAATCATTATGAAGCAGTTGTGTTAAATTCTCCACAGTTTCAAAGCATTTGACACAGTTTTATTAAGGCTTCTATGATTATTTTTTTCAATTGAGCTAGTAAGTGTGCAGCGTCCACACCTACTTCACTCAGTGAGTCGTCAGCTCTGTGGAGGTGTGAGAATGTAGGCTGGGTTTGAACTTCTCTCTAAGCAGTTTTCTCTCATTGTTACACAACAATTTCAATCACTTTCCACATTAACACACACCTTCCTGGAGAGTCTAAATGAAAAGAGTGTTGGTCTGTTGCTTTAGGTCTTAAAGGCTACAAGGATCCTGACAGGCCAGCACAGAAGGATGAGGAGCAGGAGAGGCCCAAGGAGGATTCTTCTCTTCCAGAGAATCCAGATCAGGAGTTCAACCTTTCTGAGGTTACTGCCAACACTATACCGAATGGTAAGTAATGTTTACACCTCTTTTCTAGCCTGCGATTATGTCTACACCAGTGGTCTCCATCCTTTTTTTTACTCAAAGAGCTACTTGCGGCTAAGTGCTACTCATGTTTTAACTTTCAAACGGATCTCCAAACCAAACCAGCTGAATAAGCAAATTGTTTTGTGTAACCACTTAATGTGTCATCACATCATATCTCCAAGCTCAAATGCACCTACTTTCTCATATCAGCACTTTATAGATTGAATGGACTGTAGTGGCTGTAAAAACAGTGAAAACGTGGCTTTCCAACCCAAGGATTCCCAACCCTTCATTCACATTTTAGTGACTTGTAAACTCATATTGAAGTGAAAAAAAAATACATCTGTAAAAACAGACAACAATGGAGGCAATTAAGGTAGGCTACTTAAAACTCCTCAGTGCCTGACTGCCCCAGTTTGATTAAAAGAGACATGTTAAACATTTTATATTACTTACACATTCCAAGGGTATCATGAACTCAGATGTCCACTGCAAATAAACATCCTGCAGCCCTGCTCAGAAAAGACACTCCTTATAACGCCAGTATCTGACGAAGTATCAAACCAATGCATTGACAGTTGGCAATACAGCCAATGGTGCATAGCAAACAGCAACTGCTAATAACGAATTTGGTGAAGTGTTACTTCCATTGGCCACAGCACAACTCACTGAATCCATGGAAACAGACCCACTGTTTCTTGTACAGTAAATGTTTATCGTTTCATATAAGTGAAGACATTTAAGGCTTAACACAACGTTGTCCAAAAGAGCTGCTAACATCACTGAGCAGCATAACTGATGTAAACAAACTTGACATCAGCATAATTCATGTGATTGACAGGTGATTGGCAAATAATCATGTGCCAGCGGAGGGCGGGACATCTGTTTAATTGATTGGATTGCAGTTTGAGCAGGTTTACTGGGTGAAACTCTGTTGCGTAACGTTGTTAGTTTTATAACCTTTAGGTGAGCTACTCAGAATCGGGGAGTGAGTTACTGGTAGCTCAGCCCATATAATTGTTACAACCAGTAACCTAATGACAAAGTTAAAGGAAGTATGGGATGTACTGCTTGTCGGGATCCAACAGTAGAAATGTAGCTTAAGAGGGACCTTTGGGTTTTTGGTCACCTGCTGACAGGGCTGGGTGATTAATTGCATATTGTCTACAATTATGATTTTGGCTTCCAACGATTATGAAAACAAAATAATTGAGATAAAAATGATTAGTGAGTAAAAAGTCAATAATGTATCCCCCGCTAAACGAGTATAAACGTGCAAACATATCCTGACTGATAAAGTCCAGGACGTGCTTGACCTGTTGCGGTTTGCTTATGGAGCTAACAGAGGGGGTGAAGACGCCACTGTCACATTACTTGATTACTTGTGTAAGCACCTGGAAGGTACAAAAAAATTGGAGCGAATTGTTAAAACCAGTTGTTTTCACATATCCAAACTAATTGTTGTGCTGGTGCAGACTCTGGAGTGTCTGAGGGTTTGGTGCCGACCAGCGACTCGGAGAGCGAGGTCTTCTGTGACTCTGTCGATTCAGTGGAGCAACTCAGCAACATCAAGGTACAACTCACTCACATCCTCGAAACTGTGGATATGCTGAAATTGTAGGAACCTACCAAAATGTAACCAACCATAATAATATAATAATTATGGGAAGCATGAGGTGTACAGCTTGTCAGGTTCCAACAGTGGAAATGTTAACATGACTGCTCAGTGTCGGACACAGCGCGATAAGTATTGCAGTGAGTTGGGAGATGAAATTGATAGCACAGAATGAAAAGTATAAAAATGGAGAGTAAGACTGTTTCAGAGAAAGACTTTTGTTCACAGATTTCAGTAGTCAAGTCCAATAGTTTTCAAAACGGCCACGTGTCCATGGAATCATCTGTCCATCTGGAGGCCCGACAGGTCGGAGCGGGTCAAGGTGGAGAGGGAGCCGAAGATGGAAAGGGTCAGGGTCACATCAGGAGGAGCCGAGACAGGGGAGGGGAAGGGTCCTACCACAACTGGAGAGAACGTAAGCTGCTACCGCTGACACGTCAAACATTTCTTTCATACATAGCATAAACATAACTTTCTGCAGGAAAAGGAAGGGTACTTCTAAAAGTGCTTTGCTTTATGTTTGTTACACTTGCTGTAACAGGTTTGTCCAGTAAATCAGGACTATATTGTGATCCACAGGTGATATTCCTCAGGGCAGTCCAAGGCGGGCGGCCCTGAGTGGTAGTGGTGGGGCTGGTCGAGGTGGAGGAGATGGTTCCGAGGTTGGGGCAGAGAGGCCCTATGACACCCAGCTGCAGCAGCAGATCATCCTGGTCCTACAGAGGCTCAGGGAGGACATGAGGAGTGTGATGGACAGGCTGGAGGTGGTGGAGAGGCTTGCTGCCACATATGTAAGCTTAACATAACAGTCATTCTGTTCTGATACAGTGAAAGCAAACTGTTGACATTTATTTAAATATGGTTGTAAAAATTTGATTTGTTGAAATTTAATACCATTTCTACAGCATAGAAATGACAGACATGCAAGAGTCCTGTGTCAAAAGTAGCTTGGCATTATTTTAGCTGAAATGACCTTTTATTTTGTGCATTTAATGATTTTACAACACATAAGAGCCATGAGAAGACTCTCCCACCTCATTAATGCTTAAAATACAGGTATTCATTACAAATTTTTATATGAACATTTTCTTTTTCTCACATGGCATGCATAGTGGACACATTAGATTTGATTTGATTTAAAACAAAAAAAATGCTGACATAACAAAATCTACAAAACACACTAAGGACCTGCTCCAAACAGGTTGGTTACTTATTTCAACTAGACAACATAAGCTCTGATACTGTATGTTGAAATTCAATAGAATTAGTCTAACCATTCAACTGTTGTGTCTGAATTTTGTTTAAATGAAAGCAAAATAAACAAAAAGACTTGTTTCGTGGCCCAAAGCCTTCTAAAAAGGAAGTGCACCCCGCATTGTTCATTGCATTTTCACAACCTGTCTTTCATTACGATCTGTTTTGTTGAATAATGTGTATATTTCAGACATTGTTGTTGAAAATAAAGGATGTAAGTAAGTAAGGGGCGACAGTGGTGCAGTGGGTAGAGCTGTCGTTTTCCAACCTGAAGGTTGGAGGTTTGAATCTCGGTGCCTGCAGTCAAAGTGTCAAAGTGTCCTTGGGCAATGCACCAAACCCCCAAATTGCCCGTGATGGCTTCGCATATGCACGCCGGGGCCCTTGGCTCCAAACTAAATTTCGTTGTAAGTGTTACAATGACAATAAATGTACAAGTGTTCATCAGACTGATAGCGAAGTCAAAATAAATGGTAATGAAGAGCATAGAACTCAGTGCAACAGTGCGGTTCACTGATGTTTCTGAACAACAGCGAAGGTTGTGGCACAGAGGAAGAACATATACAGTACTATATCAGGTTTTGATACACACAATACTTGTTACTAGTAGACATTTTTTGGTTTGTGCCACACAATAAAAAAATACTGAATATTACCAGAATAACTGATTTGAGCTTACTGCCGCTTTTTGTGACAGGCCCAAGGTTCAGAGTGGAGACCCTGTCTCCAGTGTGCAGCCACAGCTTCACAACAACAGGTAGGAGGGAAGCTGCATCTCACCTCAACGTCTGCTAGATAGCCTGAGTAGTATTTAGCAGCATTAAAAATGTGATGAACACAATAATGTAATTAAAATCCAATAATATAAATGTGCCATTCTGCATAACAATACTTTTTCCTTTAGTACTTTAGTAGGTTGCTTCTAGTTGAGTTCTACCTTTTTTGTTCTGTGAACATTATTGCAAAAATACATTTTTAGCATTTGTGAATCAGTTCAGAATTGTAAAAGATATGAATTGTGATTAAGTGAATGGATTTTTTTTATTTCTCCCAGCCCTAGTGTAGCAACCGGAGACACAATAAGATTCAGCACCTTCTGTCATTAAGGGCCAATGCCAGAATTATCAGACAAATTCAAGGAACGACAACAGATTCAGTTGTTTATGACCAAATTACAGCTGCTGTAATGTTGTATCATGTCTTTAAACATTTTGAGGCTTTCACAAAGCTCCTTTCTCTTCTTGTTTTGTTACATTGTGCTCTGTTTGATTTTTCTTTCAGGAGGAGAGGTACTGGCCATTTGACGTGTCGGGTCCAACTGTCCTCCTCTTCCTGTTATGGCCGTTTGTTGCTCAGGCTCTGGTCTACTTGTTGAAGAAAACCCAGAGGAGAGATCACATATCTTCATGAACCAAGCTGAAAATTCACCCGCAGTGATCCATCTGTGCAAGAAGTTTCATTTCTGGAATAGGAATTGAGGAGAAAGCTTCATTCTTCCTCGGTCTGTGGAAGAGAGGTTTGTTGGTCGTGGCTGTTTGGAGACAAGTGTATCTGGCTGTGTTTTAGACATCAGGATCCAGAATGTTTCTCTCATTACAGCAAACGAATTTTTAATTATTTAGATGAGTCCATCAGCTGGGTCCATCAGGAATCGGGTGCTCAACGTGATATAGTTATTTATTAAATCTCCTTAAAACTGCTTGTAGTGATCATGAGGACCCTGAATTAAATACAAGACTATATTATTAGGTTATCCAAGTTGTTCACATATAATGCACATTATTACTTTTCCTTCTGTTTTTGAGATATGATAAGCTCTGCCTTTCTAATGCAGAATATTATCAAACTATTTGTCAAAAACAGCAGTATCTGCCCTTTAAGTAGCAGTAAGAACACAGTCTCTGAAATGTCCATTAACTACAATATTACACTGCACTGTGAATGACAAAGGAACAGACTGGACATGATTTGTCAGATGGCTGCGAGCTGCTCTGTACTGGCTGAGAATGTGGCTGCACTTGTCCTTTCACAGTAATCTTTAGGCTCTGATTGTTTACCTCTAACTATTTGTCAGTCTTACCTTGAAATTATGTTTGTTTGTACAGTAATTAAAATAATAATTTGTAGATCCAGTGTCATTGTCAACAAAATCACATGGGTATGTTACATGTGTAACTTTCACCTACTGTGACTCCAGATACAACAGGATAATAAAGTACACTGAGGAGGGAAATGTAATTAAAGACTGTAAAGGAAGTGTCTTTCTCAGTTTGGATGGAGGATGAAGGCATGGACCGGTGTTCAAACACTTTAGCTGATGAGAGCAATAGGATCACATAAGAAAATTCTGAGCTCTGAACAAAACAAACCAAATTAAATCAAGTCTACCCGGGTAGTATGATTTCATTTTTCCATTAATTTGAATGAGATCTTGGCTTCTCTGCATGGGGTGATGAAGAGATAAACGTTAACCAACCCTCTCAACAGATCAGATGATGCTCTCCTCTGTTGTATATCCTCTGCTCGTCTGATGAATGTCCATATGCGGTTGTCCAACAAGCAGTTTTTCATTTCTCTCCAGTCATCAGATAAAAAAAAAAGCATAATCAGGGTAATATTCAATTAATCTTTATGAAATAGAATACCAGATCTGGAACTAATGTTACTCAAAATTCAAATTAAATCAAAGTACAGTATGTTATCATTACTGTGATCCACTGTATCATAAAATCTTAACTCAGCGCATGTCGACTCTGGTATTAGCGTGACACACAGCACATTAACAGCACCTCCCTTTCCATAGCTCAGCTTATTTAACTCAAGACATACTCCAACAGGTGGGTTGCATATGACCTCACGTCACTTTGTTGCTGTAGCATGAACTGAAAATGGAGGGCAGGAAGCGATTTTCTACATAAGCAATAATATCACAAGCTCTCAAAATGTCTAAGGTTTGTGTTATTTCTTTGTAGTAGGCCAGACACTTAGTCTAGGTCAAGACCGGCTTGGTTTCACACCTAGAGTTTGCATTGCTTCCAATTCGTACATTAGTCACACAATAATGAGTGATTTCCAGTGGTGTAAGATTTAAATTAACCTTCGAGAAATAAAACACCTGCTACCTTCACATCACATCTGGAATACCTCCACATAACACAAGGATGATGCATGCTTCACATTGATAAAATGTAAAACAATGCCCTAAACAGGGCTAGTAGCACTGATTAAGCACATTAACGGTCACAGCCAGGAGAGTTCATCTCCCCTTTGATACAGAGACAAAAAAAAAACAAAAAACTGCTCTAAAAGAAGCCCAGGACCACAGGCGTAAGAGCGGCAACCGTTGAAAGCTCTGATAAGGAGGATATACAGAAGCTGAAGTTACCTGCTAACAAAGACAAAGAATATTCTAAAGTTAATAAAGCCCCCATTCCTCCCAAGCCCCAGTTAAACAGTGAGAATATGTAAAAATGTAAGAGAAGAAGTCGAGGGCTGGATCCCCTCAAACCATCTGAGCAAGAAACCTTAGTGTGAGTCTGCTCTTCAAACCATCATTTTAGGATGAAATGGATAAAGGACAAAGGATTAAAATGAACAAATTATCACTACTTATTAGCTTTATTTTAATTTATAGGTTTTACACATTTTAAATTTTTTTAAGGATATTTTAAACTGAACCAGCAATAACACGTGACCTTACGGGTCTTATAATGTTTACTTTTCTAAATATTACACAAAATATTAGGTAAAGTCATGTGTTTTTGTTGCTATATTCTAGTTGTAGCCTGTGCCAGTCTTACCATCACATAGGCTAGATGCTTCAGGACTAGATGTATCTACACCCACGCCTTCTATGATACGGTGCCTCAATAGTATATGCAAAGTTCATCAATGCTTAATAAACTTTATGCAACTGTAAACATAGTTTGGTAAAACCTTGGACTAAAGGTCTAAAACCCACATCAAAGAAGAATAAACTATATGTTTAAATCTAGCCAGTCATTCCTGAGCAGTAGACAAAAAATATTCTGCACATGGACTCACTGGGGGAGCTCAGTGACTACACCTGGGTTTTCTAAGTTCTGTTGGGAATTACTAAAAGATGCCTGCCAAGTAGAAATTCAGTTTTATACTCAAAGCATGCAAGCTTTTGTGTTACTGTAATGTGTTCTTTTTTGACATTATATTGTGAGCCCTGCACAGACATGCGGAAAGAGCAAGTTATGTCCTGCCCCCCAAAGCTGTAAACCTAGGGGAAACACTTGGATCCATAACCTGTTGACCTCAAACTGTAGTCTCGGTGGAAAAGAGCCTCACAATGACTACTACTAGTGACTGCTATGCTATTAGCCCTTTTTGAACGAGACAGCGTGGCCATGTATGACAAAAGACCTTTTTGGAGAGGTGTAAGAGAGCCCATGTAAATCTTTAGTTAGGGAGATGCCAAGTAAGTTCCCACTACAAACCACAAATAAATCATTTATACTGTAGCTAGACTAATATGTAATTCAATGAAAATTTTCACTTTGTTATGTAGCAAGAAAGAAATATTGCTACATAGGTTTAAATACTCATATTTTTTAATGAAGTTCAAAAGATTTATTTGACATTTACACAAATACAGACAGTACAGGTACATAGGAATATGTACACAACTGCACTATCTACAGCTTTTACTAATATATTTAAAAACAGTTTGGTTACTAATATATAAACAAACATTTTGAATATTTTACTATTATGGGAGTGTTAACACTAATCTGTAATGTGCTGGGGGCAGTTGAATGTTCTGGTATAGTACTTTATTTTTACTCCTAAGGCACATTCCTTTGCCTGATTGCACATTACTTCTTTACTTCTGTTCTCAGCCTTATATTGGTTACTTGCCCACTGGTTAATTGCCATTCATTTGACTAGCAGGCAGTAATGGGTCACACTTGGTAAGATTGGTGTAATGCTGTGTGCCACCACTAAAGGGCAGCCTTACTGTGTGGTGAGCATCTGAGCATCTTTATCAGATGCTCACTTCCTTCCCCTCTGAGCATCCTTATTTCTCCCCTCCCAATGCCCTCCTTCCCAGTGCCCTTGCCTCTGTAGAAAACAAGAGGAATAGAGAGTCCAGATATAAAGAGATGTACACAGGAAATGACTGAGATGTACAAACCACAGCACAGGCTGCCTGTAGATATTTGCTCAGCCTTAGATTTTCAATCACTTTTAAGATAAGCACACTGGGCATCATCTGCTATCATGATCTCCAGCTCAGCCGAGGAGAGGTCTGTTGGGTCCATCAAGAACATGTTGACATCTCCCACCATGCACTGCTCCTCTTCTATACTGGGATCTGCCCATCGCTGCTTATCCAAGATGATGAATGTGCACTCTGGCAAAAAATAAAAAAGTCAAATTAAACAGGTTTTCTGTAAGTAAAGGTTGAATGATTTTACTAGTGCATGACCTCAGAAAGAATGATGTCTTATTTTCATATCATATCCAATGATTACCAGTTATTAATAAACACTTTAACCTAACAAATCTGATGGATGATGGTACAAATGTCTGGAAGGAATGGTTTGGAAGCCATAAGGACAGAACTTGAAAGCAGTGTTGACCTCGTAAAGCAAATGTCACTGAATCATTTTTCACTTTATCCTATAATAAGTTGTATTAAATAAGCTTCTGTTATTTGGACAATGTGTTAGCTTATTTATGTACGCATTGTAAAAATTCTTAATGTTAAAAACTTGTTACTCTAACTTAGAATAAAAGTTAACAAAGGTAAAAGAAGTTCTCTCAGATTTATCTTTCCAGCCACTGCTGTATTATCAGTTCAACCAAAGGTTTTTTTCTCTCTGTTTTATTTAGGTATGTTAGGGTTGCTCGGACACGGGTATGAGCAAGCAAAGAAAAGACGGACCCAGGTGGCTGGCTTCGGTGCACGTAGTGAAGGATTTAATTACAGTGCAATGTTCAGTGGATAAAACAGACAGTTGCAGTATGAAAATGAGTCACAGAGTGTTTGATTTGATTTGTTTTGATTTATTCTTTCAAGCATGTAAAGACAGTTGATATGTCAACACACAAAATTTTACACATATGCTTATACCTAGTACATGCTTGAATGGAGTAGGAAGAAGTTAGACTTATCCAGTCCTACCCCATGACATCATCTTACCATCATTGGTTTGCAAGCAGTATCTCTACATAAATAATTCTCTTCTACACCACCCATGTTTAAACATTGATAGTAAAGAAATGACATTGCAAGATATCAGCAGAGGAAAATAAGAGACAAAGTGACAGGCTTTGTGTGTGTAACAACACTCATCAGGTGTTAATGTTAACGTTACCTGGCCACGTGGTTTGCATTGGAAGGAACCAACACAACTTTGTGTCCCTCCAGTAGTGTTCTCGTTTATCTTCATGGTGCCAAAGCAGACACAAACACCAACAGGACGGATTATAACAAACTAAATTCAACCTTTGTACGTCCCATTAATATAACAGCTGGATACCGAATCACAAGATTGAGACCATTCTTCCCACGGATGTATTCAGGAGAAAAGGTGGGAGATTTTTTAATATCTTTATTGTGAGAACGTTTTTCATAACATTAATACATTCATTTCCTTTATTTATTTTCCCCACTGAATGTTGCCCGCCTGGCGCACACGGCAAATTTGTTTTTCTTCCGGGTTTGCTTCCTCATTCTGAGGCCCTGTGCACATGCGCACTAGGGGGCGGTGGGGGACAGCGACCGAACTTTTTCAGGCTCGTGTTGAAATGTCTGCCGTGCACACACTGACAAAGTAAAAATAACATGCAATCACAAACATACCTTTCATCTAGAGACGCGTTTATTAGCAGATGGATACGTTTTACAAATGATGAACACATTTATTAGCACTTTATTTCTATTATTTCAGACTCTGTGTGTATGTACATGCATATGTGTGTCTGTTGATTTGTTCATGTTTGATTTGAGGAGGTTTGTCGCCTAGGATCCTTTGCAACTTCTACAGCTGCATCATTGAGAGCATCTTGACCAGCTGCATCACTGTGTGGTAAAGCAGCACTACTGCTATGGACCGCAAGCGCCTGCAGAGAGTGGTAAAGACTGCGGAGAAGATCACCAGGACTCCACTGCCCTCTCTGCAGAGCATTTATGACCACAGGGTGCATAGGAAGGCTGCCTCCATCCTCAAAGATCCCACCCACCCCCAGCATGGACTGTTCACCTCCCTACCCTCTGGACAGAGGTTCATAAGTGTGAAATGCAGGACCTCTAGACTGAAAAACTCTTTCTTTCCCTCTGCCATCAGACTCCTAAACAGCTGACAGGAGTTTATTACCAGGAAATAGGTCATGTACTGTTGACCTGTACTGTTTACATTCTCAGTTTGCACATGCATAATTGCACATTGACTGTTGACTGCTGCACATGCTGCTCCCTTGCAGCATACATTCTCTGTTATATTCTTATATATTTTTATTATATTGCTGCATTTGCTGCTTAAAGTGTCCTAGATTTTGTGTTACTTATTTATCTACTTTATATTTCACTTGTATTTTTGTGGCATTCATGTGGATGGCAAAGTAAGAATTTCATTGTACAGGGAAACATGTTTCCTAACTGTGCATATGACAAATAAACACTTTGACCTTTGACCTATTAACACCATAAACCACTCACTGCCCCTGATAATCTTCTGTTTCATAGTTTCCTGACATAAACTGTAGATCTACAGCGACAAACTATACAAAATACAACCCTCAATCCAAAGGTAGTATTAGCTGACTACTGAAGAAACTTGGAAATCCAGTAGGATATTCTGGTTGCTGCTAATGTGACACAAACACTGTTTCACAAAGCTTCAATCACTACAAATCAATTTAATTTAATATAAAGGTAAAATCATGATCGTGCTAGGTCACTTACATCACCAAAACCAAACACATTAGCTTTAGATCATAATAACACAAGGAAGAATGCCACATCTGAATTAAACCTGAACCCTTTGGCTGTTTTTAATGCGCTCCATCTCAAAAATCCAAACCAATATTAACAACTTTCTTTGTCCCATTCTCTCTGTGCAAAAGTACAAAACCTCTTTTCACACTGTTGGAGACAGCTGTGTGAAAAGGTCCTTCATGGCTAGATGTTGTGTAACATATTACACAACATCTAGCATCTAGTGTAACAACATCTAGTGTAACATTTTTTAAGTTGACTGCAGTATACGTTTACATGGAAGTGCTGTTAAAATTAAAAAAAGAAGGTTCATTTTCTCTACATAAAAAGACAAAAACTGGTAAAATACATTTACAAATTTCATGTTATTTTATGAATATTTACTGTTACTTAATACAATACTATTTCACAATTTGAAAGACCTGTTCAAAAGGTAATATTTGAGCAGCTGGGGCACCAATAAAATACTGTAAATGAACTCATAAAATACAGCAATTTTTGTAATTGAAATACAGATTGTGGCTTTAATTCTACATGAAATATGAACTAGCAAACTTCCCAGCGTGCATTGTTTTGGAGTTAAAACTCTTCTGTGACTTATTTTGTTTTTTATTTTGAAGAACCCATTCATGTTTGGAAGCTTACCATGATGAAGGTTAGCATGGAATTCAGGGTCTGCCCCCATATACTTAAGTTTTACAAAGTCACCAGGAGCAGCCTCACATGCTGTTGTATAGCTTCAACAACTGCTACTGAAAGTTCTTTATATCAAATAAAGAGCTGGCCTTTATAAAATTACAGTGAAACTCACAAATATTAAATCATATAATCTAAAAATTGTCATTATATTGTTGTAAATATAATTACCTACTTTTTAAGAATTTTTTAATGCAAATCACTGGGTTTTATAAATTAGAATTTATTTAACATTAAAACCTTTTAAATACACAAGATTTCATGTAAAAGTAAAGCAACAAACTCCAATTAAATTATGGACAAATGGACAACTACTCTTTTTTTTTTTAAGGAGATGGTTATTTTATAGTAAATTTCCTTTGCCCCAACTGCCAGAACATTATCAGAAGAAAGAATTCCTTAACTATGAGATTAAATCTTCAATGTAAGATGGATGAGTCATGAGACAACAGGGATTTCCAGGTAACATAACATAAGTAGTTCATTGCCAGTGTCCAGTGAGAAAAGGGCAAGTGCAAAGTAACGTTTATTAGATGAAACACTCAAACTACCACTGTATGGCAGCACCATGATCTGGTAAAATCCTGTGGGTCTAGGACCAATGTCCTCGGGACCATAGTAGAAGATCCTGGGAAGCTTTGATTTATGGATCCTGAAAGAGAGGAGGAGAGAGGAGGGGCCTCCTGGGCAAGACAAGGGAGGTTATCTATTTGCTCAATTGACCTGGGACCAACAAATGATCCCTTTCGAACCCCAACACATCTATGCTGACCTGATCCTCCCCCAGTGACTCTGATCACCTCCACCCTTTCTGCTCTCCACCCTCTGACTCTGTCCTCACTCATGCCCAGCTCAAGGTCCAGATTCATGGATACACTCCTTGTTCTCCCACCTCTGGTCTTCCTATAGTGAACTGGCACTGGTTGTTGCCAGTCTGGTTGCTGGGTCCTGTGAAAGCTGGAAGCCTGGTAGAGACTGAGAGGCCTGTTTGGGGAGATGCAGAAAGTGGGATGTGTTCTTGCCATGGAGTCAGACCTTAAGTGGGAAGTAGGATCTGTCACAGGATGGGCTCTTGAGTATGTGGAGCTGCCCTGATGGTGTGAGTAGAGGAAACTGTTTGGAAAAAGCTGTGGTGCAGTTTCTAACGAGACTGGTTTCTGCCTAGTAACTCTTTCAAATTTTACGGTGCTATTGCCTAGTTCCTTCCCTAAGTCCTTTTCAGCCTTTTCTCCTCCCACCATTGAATCTTTTCCCTCTGTTGTCTCTACAGCTTCCACCCTATTTCCCTTTTCATCCTTTTTGTCTTTTTTAGAACTGATACTTTCTCCCTTGACTGCCTCTTTGTGTCGTCTATCTTCTTCCCCTTTTTCCTCCTTCCTGTAGTTGCTGGCTTTGACTGGCTCATGCTCAGATTCCTCATCAGTGCTGCTGCCTGGCAAGTGGGTACCGAGTCCTTTCTTACGTTTGCGGGTCACAACAGAGATAATGGACTTGGGCAGGAAGTCCCTGGCATTCAGGTCTTTCTTGGATTGTGAAGAATCCTGAAAGGTTGAAATCCCAGTCAAATAATGGTAGTGTTATACATATTTCATAATACATGATTCTATTCCAACAATTGAAGTACAAGTAACAGATTTTGTACATACCTTTGACCTAAGTGAATTCCTGGTGGTGCAATCTATTTGAGAAGAATAAGATGTGAATTAGAACCATACCATCATTTAACAAGTGGTGGTATTAGTGTTAGGAATGGAACAAATGATGTGATGTCTGGCTAATCACAGCACACATTATCAGTACTGGAAACTTTTGGAAAAACCATAGCAGCTATGTAAGGACTTGTCTTTAAAATCAGGCAAACAACTGTTTTTACTTTATGTAGCAAAAATGGCTAGAGTTCACCTTTAACATCAACAAGACCAAGACTGATGGAAAGAAAAAGAATGGTTACATTAATCCAAGTACAGTAGAAACACCTAACACAAGACCGGCTCCTACCGAAGGGGCTGATCGACTGTCTGAGCTAGAGAAAAGAAGTGCAGAAAAAATGACAAATTGAGAAAAAGTGGGAAACATAATAAGCATAGACAGGCAGAAATCATAACATTTGGAGAAATCATACAGAGACCTACTGGGAAGAAAAGACACTGAACTGAGTTTCACTTGAAAATGTCGCCAACAGGTAGTATTTGGAGTACAGAATGTGAAGGGTAGACTGAGATATATTTAGAAAGAAAGCATTAGAAGTTTTGATTAGAATTAGACATCTATATTACAAGCTTTTTTTTGCAATACCAAAGACTGTTCCTTGTGATTGAAATGATCACAAACTAGAAAGATAACTGTTCTAGTCATGTCATAGTGCAATATTGTCTGACTTACACAAGCAGATAAAGATAAGATTTAAAGATAGAAATAAGATAAATATAAGATCCAGATAGAAAGGTTTGTATATCATAAAGTGACTGCTTTGCTACAGAACAGGTGCTTTTTCTGTTTGGACTTAGCCTAGCTTGTTTTTTCTACTGATATCACAGTATTCTCTACTAAAAACCTTTCGACAATGACTACTAGACACTTAAATCATTAGGACTTTAAGTTTGATAGGCACAGAAGCCTAGGACCATAGTTTTGAATACTGTTTTCATTTGACTTCAACTTCACTGCTCCTCAGGTTGGGACATGGCCATGTCTCCAAACTCAGCAAACGCGATGAGCTGAGTGTGAACAATTGACAGAGAGAAAAGAAGATTGAAATGCTTCTTCAAATACATAACAGTAAACAATTCACTGATTCAGCAGTGTTCCCACCACCGCCTGAACTCCTAATGAACAGACAATAGGGATTCCATGAGACACAGAGCACCCAGGCACAGACTTGGACGCTGCCTTCGATTTGTTACAGCAATATCGGAGCTGTGGTGGCTCCCACATCAGCTCTCACCAATGACACGCCTTACTGGCACAGCATTGGATCAAGACCAAAAGCATCAACTCCAGCCAGGACTTGGTCGGGCATCATTTGTCAGAGGTAAATCAAGTAGGAAATCATATGGGAGGATACCAGTGCTCACACCACCACCTGAACTTCTACAGCAAAACAGATACAAGCCATTGACTCTAAATGAAACCGGTGACAATACCCAATATGGTGATCCCAGGGAAGCTAGTCACATCACCAGCATTAATGCTAGCTAAAACACAAAAAAGAGCCCTAAAGCCACAACTAGGCCAGGTATGTTGAACACAATACAGCAGCACATTATTTGATGTGTATAATAAAGAAGTAATAAAGGGCTGCTTCTTAACTAATCAGTATGACTATTTGATGGTTCACAAAAGTAACTAATGTTTAAGTAGTGAATAATAATTGAGTAGTTACTATTTTGTGCCATACAGTGTTTGAATCACAGGTCAACAAGAATGATTCATAAAGTCAGTTTACTAATAACTAATCATTATCTTAACTTAACAGATCTTAACTAATTCTTCATTTGTTCATTAGTAACCACACAATTTTTTTTGTACTGTATTGTAAAGTGTTACTTTAAACTGTAGGGTGTTGCTGGTATAGCTGGTGTGAATGAACTATGCACATATCCTGACAGCAGGGGAATTATTCCCCATAAATGTGGTGGCAAAAAATATATAATGGACTGGACAGATAGTCTTGATACAACAGAAAACTCTCAGTCCTTCCAAGCCTACTGATCATCTACTGGGTAATGCAGCCAATTGCCTTAGGATGCATTTAATGAATTGCAAATTTGTTAACATCATGTGCACCACTAAAGCAGAGTATACATTTAAAAGTATAATTTATATATTTAAATATGTCAACTTTACATTCAATATTTTTAACATTTGATAGACTAAACAATGAATTGCTTAACTGAAAAAAATTAGCCATATACATAATCACTAGTTTCAGCCCAAATTATTTAGTAATACATATACAATGCAGAGCAAGAGGGACAAAAGGTTTCCACAATGCCCCAAAGCTTCTTGTTTCCTTATGGGATACTAGTGTGTTAATCCAAACATATTTTATGTTCTTACAAAGGAACATTTGAAAAAGCATATGATTTAATTGGCACGTCAATAAACAAAATTAAAGTATTACTTTTTCCTTTTGCCAGCAGAAAACCTTCATGCAGCTTCTTAATACAGCATCTTTTAAATCAAACCTTTACTGAATCACCCTAAACTGTTAAGAACAAAAATATTAAATTTTTTAATGAACTATCCTTTAATCAGATAGATATAATGGATCTACTGTATGTGAATGTCAGATTAGATTATGAATTTGATGCTGGATTATCACTCCTCCTTACCTGATGTCTCTCTTGGCATGCCCAGCCTGCCAATGTTAGGCAGGAGATGGTCAATGTTGGGCACAGGCTGCATGTCCTGCTTTTCCTCTGTGGCCTACACACACACACACACACACACACACACACATAAAGAAATGCACCACTGTACCCAGTATAAAAGTACAGAGTACAAACAATGTCAAAACTTGTACTCTGATATTCTCAGACAGCTCTGGGCACTGACTTTGGTATAACATACCTTCTTTTCTACATCAGGCTCTCCATCACTGAAAAACCATTGATACTGTTGAAGGAAGAAAACATGGCATCACTGCATGCTTTAAATTCAGAATGGCTAGTTTTAATGGTACAGTGTATCTTGCACTACAGGAGGCAGCTGGTTCTTACATGCAGAATAAGTGTTTCCACTATTTTGTAGCGGTCAGGCATGTGGGTGACCATGTCAGTCATGCTGTCCTCTGATGTTCTTACAAGAGTAGGACCAAACACCAGAGCTAAGTTTCTTGGCTCCATCTGAAAAATATGTCCATGGCTCACCCCATCATTGTCCACAATGATCAATACAAAACCCTAACTCCTAATTGAAAGGGGGTGTGCTTACCTTGTTCTTTTCAGAGTGATCTGCCACCCTTTTGAGGTGGCCCATCAAGAACTTCAGTGTGTGGAAATAGTGATCTGGGAGGTCATGGATCTTGATATATAAGGAAGGGAATTAAAAAAAAAAAAGTTAAAGTAAAGAGTATTTAAAAATGAAATAAAGTGAACCTGTGATTGCCCTATGTTCTGCTGAAATTTGATACATACCAGTTTTTTCATGGTCTTCAGTCTGTCCTCTCCATCTGCTATCCGGTTGGCATCAATGAAGTCACTGTATTTGTCTGTTGGCAAAGAAGCAATATGACTAACATACTGTACAATGAAAGGTATTTTTATAAAATGTTTCTTAGTTCAACAATAGAATTTCCACATGCAAACACCATGCAGTGTCTTTAGCTCACAAGTGGACTTTTGAGGAAAAATAAATCTTGACAAGCTCTTTTATTTGCATCCAAACTGACAAAATACTGAAGTTCTATTTATATTAGATTTTTACATTAACACTATACATACACACATTAGGATTACACTACACTTCACAATGAACACATGACTGGCCTCACCATCTGTAAATAGAGGCTCAGGCAATTTTCGAAAGAACGATTTAAGCAAGCTGCTCATTACATTCAGGTCCTGCCATTTCTGTGAAGACAGAAGAAGGTGTTTATGGCATAGAATTATAAAAACAACACATGTAATCTGACAAAATTATTCCTGGTTAAAAATAAAACTGCAGTCAATTAATAAAAATATATATATTACTGAGCAATAAAACACCTCTTCAGCAGTGTTGATGTCCATGCCCTTGTTGAGATGCTCCTGCAGATTGGACACCATGGCATTATTCCCAGGCACACGGTAAATGCCGGTGTACTCCAGACCCATCGCCTCTACCACACCACAGCACATCTCCACTATCAGAGGGACAAACTGTAGACAGAAGGTAAGATGAGGACAGAGATGTAGTCAGTAAAGAGGGAATAAATAAATAATAATTAAAGAGAATTAGCAACAATAACAGGCAGGTGAGAAGTCATAGAGAAAAGAAGAAGCAATAAGAAAGTAGAAAATTACCGTCTTGATCTATTTGGAAATGATATGAGATGTTTAAATCTGAATACTTACTATAATGTTGCACTATGTTTATTAACTTTTCTCATATGGTCAATGGGCTTGTCTTTTCAGACAAAGCATCAGAAATTGCCTGAAATCCAGTATGATAGTATGTTTAACAACAACCTAAGATCAAAATTCAGGTAGTGTAAGTGAACCTTTGAGTTTATATAGTTTTGTTCCTTTGTAACTTTTACACTCAACCAGTAACAATCAGCAGATTCATCTAATTGTCTAAAGGGTCATAAAGGCATGTAGTAGCATATACATGCCCACACCATGAGGTCATATCACAATACCACTAAACAGCAGCATTTCTTTTAAAATGGTTGCTACCAAACTTGGCTGAACTCTGAGAAGGTAAAAAAAAAAAGATCAACCAGGTGAAACTTAGCTTTTTAAAAAAATTTTTAATGGAAATAAATTGTTTAACTTTTTTAAGTTATTAAGACAAAGATTTGGAATTGGTGTTATTTTTGTGCTATAAATCATGTCGTTCATTTCTTCATAATAAAACACTGACAGCTTACTTTATTTTTGACAGCAGGCTGACAGTCCTCTAGTCGAACCCCAAAAGCCTTTGGACTGCCCATTTTCTTTGCCTTCTTCATGATGTTGATGCCCCAGAATGCCTTGTTGTCATCTGAGTGCGCACATACACACACATGCAGACATGAGCACAACCTGAGATTTTGACTGCAAAGTGGTGCTAGTTGAAAGCCAGAAAATTGCTAAAGTCACTGGACTTCATCCTCTGTAAACGTATACAAAATGTAATGGCAATCCTAACAGTTGTTTAGATATTTTAGGTCAAAGTGAATGATTGAAAAACACTGCCACATGTAACACCAATTTGTAGTAGCTTGTCATGCGCTGGTGAACACCAAGCAGAGTCATATTTGTATCATGTATCAATTACAGATTACTGTTCTTCAACAGTAAAAAGTTAAATTACAATATTGCTATCTAAGGCAGTAACTATACTTTTAAGTTCTTTTTGTGTACTCTCAAAAAGAATCCTTATACACTAAGATTTGGTTTGATATAAAGTAAAATTATTATGTCCCAGTTCCCAAAACACTTGCCAAATATCACCTACACATCTTGTTCATCCATCCATGTATTGCCAATTATTAAGGAAGGCCAGGTGTCCCTCTTTTCAGCAATGTTTTGCAGCTCCTTCTGGGGGACCCTGAGGCATTGCCAGGCTAAATGGGATATAGAACCGTTGCAGAGTATTCTGGGTCTACCAGTGGGCCTCCTAGCAGTTGGGCATGCCGAGAAAACCTCTGATGGGAGGTGCTCAGGAAGCATCCTAATCAAACCTTTCAATGCAAAGGGGCAGCAGCTCTACTTTAAGCTCCCTCTGAATGTCCAAACTTGTTTCAGCCACTTCTATTTGCTGTCATTCTTTCTTTCATTACCCATTACCCATAACTATAGGTGATGGTTGGAACACAGATTGACTGGTAATTTAAAAATGTTAACGCTTTGCCTTCTGACTCAGCTTCCTCTTCATCAAAACAGTCCAGTACAATGCCAGTCCAGTACATTAGTGCAGACGCTGCACCAACCCCCCTGTCAATCTCATGTATTTTACCCTCACTCATGAACAAGCCCCAAAATACGTCAATTCCTTCACTTGGGGCAGCATTCACTCTTAACCCACTGTTTTTTGGAAGAGAACCATGGCCTCAGACTTGAAGGTGTTGATTCTCATCCCAGTCACTTCACACAGGCTGCAAACCACCCATTGCTCGCTGGATGTCATTTTCTGATGAAGCCAACAAAACCAGATCACCTGCAACAAGCACAGATTCTGAGGTCCCCAAACTGTCATGATTCTGTTCCACCTGTTTCTGGTCTCATGCTTTTATTTTGACACAAATTCCTGTTACAGTCTTATCTCAGCTATAGACTTTTTACTTTAATCAGTACTCATTGTTTTCACCTGTTTTCACTCCCTTATAGGCAGCTTCCTCCCACCAGGAATCTGCCAGATTGTTCTAGACTCCAGCTCTGACTTTCCAGCATTTTCTCGTACCTGATACTCTTGTTCTGACCCCGGACTGCTTGTTTGATCACCATACCTTGCCTTATCCTCCCAGATTCTGATTGCCTGTTGTGTACCAACCCTAGGATATTCCCTTTCTGACCTCTCTATTGTGGTTCCCTCGGCTGTATGTGTTTGCCAGCACTGACCTTGGACTGTATTATCAACCTGATTGTGATTCTGGATTTTGGTACTATTTGTTTTGTTGCGGCAAGAAAAGAGACTATCCTTTATCTTTGTTCATCTGGCATTATAATTGAGTTCAGGCAGCTTCACCTGCCAAACCTGACACAAACCAGACACACTCCTTCCCTATCCTCCTCCTCCATATGGACATATGTCTCATACTGATTATAAAAGGATCAGATGGCTCATAACAGTGTTCCCAGTACCCCATACACACACTACCCCCACACTACTCCCCACAAGACCCCCAAGGACTGGTGTGTAGACTGCATGGGCAAACTCCCATGATCTAGCCTCACAAGAACAAGGAATTTTTCCACTGTTGCATGGCCAGGGCAGAATCCTACAATATGTCAGAGCCTTCTTTATCAGCACCCTGGCAGTGTTTAAATATGGGGACCACCACATCAGTCTGCTAGTCTACAGGCACTGTTCCCATCCACCATGTGGTACTGAAGAGACGTGTCAGCCAGGACAGCCCCACACTGTCCAGAGCCTTCAGCATCTCAGGGTGAAACTCATCCACACTTGACACCTTGCCACTGAGGAGCTTCTCAACTACCTCAGAAACCTCTGACAAAGATATGAGTGAAGTTTCCCTGAGCTTTCAGACTCAGACTTTTTTATGTACTGTGTCCGGACTGAGTATTATGATTAAAATATTTTTGAAAATTCAGATTTTTGTTTATTTATTTTTTACTTGTGAATTCCTAGCCAAAAACCCATAATTATTAAGTAACGAGGAACTATTTAATAGCCTAACTATTCACTATGAGGTATAACCTTAGGGGACAAAGGGGTAAGTAATGTTCAAATAATCATGACGTAATGACAGACTCCTCAGTAATCACTCAGTATGATACTCCACTTTACTTGAGGGTACACAGAAAGTCAAAGTAATGGTCAGATAACCATGAAGTAATGAAGAACTATGTAACTAATCATTTTGATGTGACACTTTACTTGGAGGTACACAAACAGAAGAATGATTAAGTAATGAGTTGAATTTAGTCGTTACTAGTCTGTGTCGCTTCAGACTGCTAGCTCATCAAGAGCAACTTATAGAGAAAGTGATGGTATTCTGTTTCACAGATACTTATGAACTAATCATTTCCTACCACTTCATTAATAATACATCTCCCAGGCTGTTCCTATTAACCCATCATTATATACTATGCAGTGCTTGATTCCAAGTTATTCAGGAACTACTCCTTTACAATTCATCAATTATCAGCTCCTTCTTAATTTGTTCCGCAGTTGCTATGGATGCTTTCATGCACTGTGTTGTAAATTTATATCAGTAATATTACTAATATTAATTATATATGTTATATTACTATGATTGTGTGGCAAGTAATATTATTACCTAACACATAACCCCCAACACTGGTTTGTACCCACCAGTTCTCAAAACTCGGTTCATTGATGTGTTGTCAGTCTTAGCCAGGAGGAAGGGAGGTATCATATGTTGGGCTCTGGAAGAGGAATCTGGCTTGTTGCCTGTCAGACTGTATGAAGAAAGAGAAACAGAAATGGTCAAAAATAAATAAAGTTGTAACTAAGGCTTATTTTTTTAGGCTGCAGTATTAAAGGAATTCAGGAGCAAAAGGAGGGCCCAGGCAATAAGCGTTCTTCTTCCATCTTCATTTAATGATCTCAGTTTTAAGCAAATAAAAGGTTGCCTTGCTATGCTTTTTTGAAACTGCAGTTCAAGTTATTTTTGCTGACAAGCTTATAGCCCAGAGTTACAGCAACTGCTGATTATAGAAAGGGTAAGGGGCAGACCTTTAGCTAAATATAATCCACCACTCAGACCTGTGTTTTCTGTATTCATTCAGCTTCTTGTTGATGAGAGCTTGTCTTGTGATACCATTCTCCTAGAATACATGAAAAGTATTAATTAGTTCAGTATATATGCGTTTGTGTAAACTAACTAGATATTAAGACCTAACCTCATTGTCAGTCTTGCTGTTCTCCCTGACGACCGTGATCCAGGCCAACATGTCGTCCCTGTCCTTGGCCTGCAGCAGGTACTCACAGAAGTCTTGTGTGGTTAGCCTCAAGGTGTGCTTGCGCTTTGTTTCACTGTAGGAAATATCGATCAGGCAGCCGTAGATGCTGATTGAAGGATGTTCGTCCTGGCTGAGTCCTGCCCCTGCTCCGTGAAGAACTGCCTCTCGCTTGTCCTTGTACAGGAAAAGAGAATGGGAACGAAGAACAGAGAAGACCCGTTTCCACGGCCGCATGCCACCACCAACTTTCTACATTGAGACAGAAAGAAGAACATAGCCTTTAATTTTTTTTTATTTGACCATGAGGTCACAAACCAAATTGTTATATGGTGTGACTTCTTACTGTAATTAACTTTTCCCTAATTACCTCACCTAAACAGTGATTGGCTAATAATACAGTAGTTATAGTAGGAAATGTCCATTGCCATGACAGGACTGTCCAGGGCTAGATTTTTCCACATGGCAAGGTGGTGTGCATGGGATTAAAATAAGATCTAAAAGATTCCAGAAGGTCTCTTTTTCATCTTTTCAATAGAGAAAGTATAGTGAATAAATCAGACACTGAGCATGCCTGCTAGCTTGGTTTACTACTTTAAGTAGTAAGTTAGATACCCAGGCATGCTCGGTATTAACCATTATATGCATATTTAACACTCTCTTGGAGGGTTCTGATTTTCACACCAGTTAGCAGAAGACAGAAAGAGAAAGTTCAAGCGACTCGTGAACTTACCATTAATCAGCCAACATTACCTCTCCACAGCTGATTCAATCTGCTAGTGACAGTGGACATGTCAGCCAGTAAAATGTTCAGTCACTAATTGAACATGAGAAGTTTGCTTTGATCTACTTGTCTGAAGTATAGAGCCACTTGTTTCACAATTAAGATGAATTTCAATTGGTGCTGTAAATGTGCTACTCTGGAAAGCTTGGTAAGTGTGGCAACAGTTTGTGGGGCTTAGCTGAGTCCAAGCTAATCAGCTTCCAGTGTGTGTCCAGGCAGGGGCACACTTGATGATCAGATGAAACCTAATAAGATAGGACAGGCCACACTTAAAGACCACCGTCTTTCACAGATTTTTAGTCCTTGACAGCTGGGACAGAGCATAGACCTTACCTGAACTTTAACCCTAACCCTTATTACAGGGTAAACATTGCAGACAACACACTTAACAACTATACTTGAAGCAACAATAAGGATTAATTCAAAATCTAGCTAGCATTAGTATGAGACTCTAGAATAAGTCACCTCCATATCACCCAGCCGTCTGTCTCCCTATTCCTCCTCCACTCTGCTCCACACTCCAACTGACCCTTTGAGAATGGGAGACTGTTACACAGTATTGTAGTTTGGAGAGAAATTCACAACGTTAACAGGCAGCATTCAACTGGTGGGCACTAAAATAAAGTATCTCACCAAGCTGACTGCTTCATGTCTACAATAAATACAACACAGTTGTGTAGCAATTTCCACTACAGGACTGGTGGACACAACACAGTTACAGCCAGCGCAGTTTGTGAACATTGGCAGAGATATAAAAGTGGGTCCTGCACATCTGCAGAAAAGTTTTGTGAAGCTGTTTAGCACAAAAAACACTTAGCCACTCAAGTTTTCCTATCATTTATAGGACATGCTGTTAGAAACATGTGAGACTGTCGACACACTGTCAAGCATAGCTACTTCTGAAGAGAGGGAGGCACGGCACATAGCACATAACTATCACTGCAGCTGCAGCAGGCGCCAAACCGGGGTGACGAGAGCCAGACTCCCAGGGAAAAACGAGGTAGCAGAGACTACAACACATTCAGCTGCTGGGAATCAGAATAATCAAATAATCAAGTCTTGTACTGTATACCCTTGTACCATAACAAATACAAATGACAATTGGCTTGCACTGCTTATTGCCATCATGGGTCACTGATGTCAGTCTTAAAAATATGTTCAATAAATCTTTATGATAACAACTGACAGGAACAGAATCTAAAGACTTGAGATAGATTCTTTACATATAACAAAGTATACATTTTACCTGCCAATACTGAGTGACTCAGCCTGGAACATACTTGTCCCAGCTTGATTCAATCACTCATCATGCCCAAATCCCATTCAAAACTGGTGCGACACTTGACCCCATCTGTACCTTTCCCTTCTCTGTGAGGATCTGTTTGTAGTGCAGCCAGCCCTCCTTGCGAACATCACTGAAGGTAATGGTTCCCAGTTCAGAAGTGGAGTGGCGCTTTGATATGGCCTCCTCCTCAGCTTGCAGTCTCTCCAGAGACTGAAACACAGTGTAAAGATATTAAGAGATTCACAGTGGACACTGTATATTTGGCTGCTGGAAATTTATCAAACGTAGAAATCAAAAGCAAAAGTACATGTGTTCAAGTCTAATAATTAACTACTCACCACTTCAGTGAAAAAACTCTTGACCCTTTTTGGTAATTTGCTGTGGAGCAGAAAGCACACAAGTTCTAAAAACACCATGTCCAAAGTATACACAGTATCTGTGCTTGGCTCAAATGATTTTTGTGTCACTAC